CTTTCTGTCCCGAAGGGTCCCCCTCCTGGTTCTCTATCTGGAGTTCCCCCCCCCCTTTTTACCCAGTCTGCCATGTCTCCTGTGTCTTTTTTTCTCATCTCCCCCCGATCCTCCTTCCCATCCCTCCCCCAGTCTCTTGGCCCTCCATGCTGCCTGTCTGTCCAGGCTGTTGTCAATCATCCTCCCAGCAATCTTCATGTTGTTCGCTCCCATTCTTCTGTTGAGACAATTGAGTCTGTCGCCACATGTTGTTGGAACACCTGTCTCTTTGAGTCAGAAACGTGAACCTGGCTCCTCTTCTCCGTCCTGCCCGGTGGGTAAGAAGGCATCGCTTTCTTCCTCGCCCCCCACCTCTGACTATCGCTCTGTCCCCTCCCATTTCGGTGGTCGGGCCCCCTTTCCCAACTATGGAGGTTTCTTTAGTCCCCGATTCCCTCTTGGTTGCTGCCCTTGCTGAGGTGCGCTACCCGGTTTCTGCCCCCCCCCCTCCTCCTGCGGTCCTTGACTGCCCCTCTTGGTTGTCTCCTCCTCCAGATCCTGCCTGTCTGCCTCTGGTCTGTCCTCCCGCTCCCTTCACTCATCCTTACTCAGTTTACCCATGCCCCCTAACCCTGATCCTGATCTTATTTAATATGCTGTGTTCTTCTTTACCTTTGTTTCTTCATTGTTCTCTGTTGCTGTCCTTTCTCTTTTTGCCAATGTCTATTCTTCAATGGAATATTCGTGGATTTTATCCTGTCTTCCATGAACTCCAACTTCTGATATACACAAAGTGGTGAAAACTGTGTATTCTCCAGAAGCTGATGCTTGGTGCTCGTCCTGGTCACTTTCGTGGTTATTCCCTTTTTCCTCTCAAAAGCTGGGGCCTATAACTCTACTGCTCTTTTGATTCGTACTGATATTCCCTTCGTCCCTCTACTTTTTCAATCGCCTATCCAATGTTCTGCTGATCGTGTCTTTGTGAGTAAATAGTATACAGTTTGTTCTATTTATTTTCCCCCAAACGTCCCGCTTTCTCTTCCTGATCTTAAGCACCTACTGGACTCCTTGCCAGAGCCTGTGCTCCTGTTGGGTGATTTCTACTGTCGACATACTCTCTGGGGTGATGTTCTGACAAACACCCGAGGCCGCCTTCTCGAACCGTTCGTTTTCTCTTCTTCCCTGTCTTTTCTGAATTCTGGTGAACCCACTCATGTGGACTCAAGAACTGCACCCTTTCCTGTCTTGATCTTTCTCTCTGCTTGTTGTCTCTTTACTTGGATTTCACGTGGCAGTTCTTGATGACCTCTATAAGTGACCATTTCCCCATCCTTGTTACCCCTTCTCTTTTTTTACCCTCCCCTCTCCTTCCCTAGGTGGCAGTTTGCCAAGACTGACTGGAACCTATTCACCCTACGTGCTACTCTCTCCGACCTCTCCACTCTGCCTCTCCCTTGCGTCCTCCTTTTTCATGACACCATCTTCGACACTGCCCTCCATTCTATGCCTCGCTCTACCTTTCGGGGCACACGGAAGTGTGTTCCCTGGTGGAATGCGGACTGTGCCCGGGCTGTCCTCTGTAAGCGTGCAGCCTGGAAGAAATACCAACGCCGGCAGACGGCTGATTCGTTTATTTTGTTTCGGAAGGGAAGTGCATTGGCCCGCAGGACCATCCGTACAGCTAAACGTGAGTTGGAAATCTTATGTTTCTACCATTCCACCGATACTCCTCTACCGCAGATCTGGAAGAAAATCAGCAAGATAGCGGGTAAATTCATTCTAGATGTCTTGCTAGTCCTTCACCCCCCCCCCCCCCCACCTTCCCCCTGTGGTACTATTGTGGCAGACCCAGTGCAGGTCGCAACCGAACTGGGTTCCCACATTTCTACTGTTAGCTCTGGTTCTCATCTTCCTCAATCCTTCCTTAGTAAACCCGTATTTGTATAACCAGGTCAGGGAGTCCTCATCAGTCCCTGAGGACTGGCTCGATGCTATCGTACTCCCTATTCAGAAACCGGGGTCTCTCGGGACTTTCCCTAAGGACTTCCGCCCTATTGCCCTCACGAGTTGTGCCTGCAAACTCTTTGAACGTATGGTCAATTTTCGTCTGATGTGGCTCTTGGAACACTATCACCACCTCTTCCCTTCTCAATTTGGTTTTTGCAAGTGCCGCAGCACGACTGATGTTTTGGTAAATTTGGAGGTCTATATTCGTACTGCTTTTGCTGCGAAAACCTCCGTTGTTGCTGTTCTTTTTGACCTGGTAAAGGCTTACGACACCATATTCTGTCTCAACTTCGTTCTTTTGGCCTTCGTGGTAATCTCCTCTCTTCCTCTCTCGTCATTCCTTTAGAGTGAGGCTTGGTGCCACTCTCTCTCTGCCTCTTTTCAGCAATACGAAGGTGTACCCCAAGGTAGTGTTCTGAACACTACTCTTTTTTCTGGTTGCCCTCAATGGTCTTCTTCCCTCTCATCCTTCTGGTGTCGTCTCCGATCTCTACGTTGACGATCTTACCCTTTGCTGTCGAGGTGGTGATTTGCCTCTCCTTCAATGGTGGCTTCAACTTGCTATTGATGCCGTGTTGTCTTGGGCCACCAATCATAGCTTCAAGTTCTCTGCAAATAAGACTTGTGCTATGACTTTTACTCGGAAGCATGTTGTTCTTCATCCCTCTTTGTCGCTTTGTGGTCATCCCCTTGTGTACAAAGATTCCGTTAAGCTTTTGGGGTTAACCTTTGACACTCGTTTATCTTGGTCACCCCATATCTCTTACCTCTGAGTTGAATGCTCTAAGGCCCTTAACCTACGTAAGGTGTTGTCCCATACTTCTTGGGGAGCGGATAGGCGCACATTCCTCTCTCGTACCGTCTAAACTTGATTGTGGTTGCCCTGCTTATTTGTCTGTTTCTCCTTCTACTCTTCGCCGTCTGGATGCTTTGCACCATACTGGGTTGTGCCTCAGCTCTGGTGCCTTTCGTTTGACTCCTACCCTCAGCTTGTATGTTGACACTGGCTTACTATCTCTCCAGGACCGCCGTGATCGCTATGGTCATTGCTACCTTGCACGGTCCTTACAACACCCTCACTCTTGCCTATGTCGTGCTTCGACTTTTACCTCCCCTGTAGTTCCTGTTCCCCTTCACCACCTCCCTCTTTTTGTCCGGATGTCTCGCCTGCAAAATTCTCTTTCGGTTAGTATTACCAATATTTCTCCTCGTGTTGTTCTGTCCTTGCCCCCGTGGAGGGTCCCCCCCTTCCTAAATTTTGTAAATCCCTGATCTACATCACTAAAGCTTTTACCCCTCCTACAGTTATGAAACACTTTTTCCTTGAATACTTTTCTTCACACTTTCGCTCCATTTCCATCTTCACTGATGGATCTAAGTCTGCAGATGGTGTAGGCTACTCTGTTGTTTTTTCCTGACCGCACTTATATGTGTCGCCTGCCTCCGGAAACTAGCATCTTCACGGCATAACTTCATGCTATTCTCTATGCTCTTCATCTACTGCTTTCTCACTGTCAATCCTCTTTTGTGGTTGTAGTTGACTCTCGCAGTGCCCTCATGGCTCTAGTCCTTTAATCCAGTCCATCTAGTGGTAGTTGAGATTCAACTTTGGCCGTTTCTTTTCTCCAGTCGATATAAGACAGTAGAGTTTTGCTGGGTTCCCAGCCATATTGATGTTTCTTTAAATGAGCGTGTGGACGCTGCTGCTAAGGAAGCTTTCCGCACTTGTCCCATCTCCCGTAAAGGTATTCCTTATTCTGACTTTTACCCAGTTAATTATTTCTCCATCCTTGCCCATTGGCAGGATTGTTGGTCCTCTGTTACTGGTAACAAACTGTGTACTCTTAAGAGTAGTGTGTCCCTGTGGCCTTCCTCCTATCACCGTAACCGACGGTGGGGAAACAGCTCTGGCAAGGCTGCGTATTGGCCATACACACTTAACTCGTGGACACTTAATGGAGCGCTGCCCTGCTCTTTATTGTCCAAACTGCATTGTCCCTCTTACAGTTGTGTATATCCTTGTTGACTGTCTTGCCTTCCAACCGTCCCTCGATAAAATTCTTGGTAAATCAGATACTCTTTATCATTCGTCTTATGCGTTTCTGTTCTCATATTGGCATCTTTAGTGATATTTAGCACCCTCTGATTATTCCCCACATTTGATGGTGCTACACCATCAAATGTGGTGAATGCTCTAAGCATTCTAAGCATTCCCGGCTTGGTGCCTTCTTTTGATAATTACTTGATAGCTGAGGAATGTGTGTACATTCATCCATGTCATTACAAGCTATAAACCAAAATTTTGTTCAGTGGTACTGAAAAAAAGTGCTATATTTTACAAAATTTTTACTTGAAACACTGTTTTATTAATCTTGCAAGGTCCTTTTCTCGTAGAAATGTGGTGCAAGCTCAAGCAGCCAAGTAGGATCAATCACAGTTAAATCACGCATAAACATTTGTGATGTGTGCAGCACTTCATGGAATAACACCCTAAAAAAGATAGAAATAAAAATTATAAAAGTTTCAGAACTCGCTTAAGTTACGTTTGCTGGCCAATGTAATTATATATTCAAACCTTTGTACAAGTAGGTAACATTATATTTCATAAGCTGACTAATACAATGTAAAACTCTGACCCAGAATAAATAAATAGATCTTTTGGTGTATGTAAACATTCTAAGGAAGGTGATTAATGCAGAATAACTAAGTTCTCAATATAAAGTATTATAAAATTGAATGTAGAGTATTTTTTGTAATCATTAAATTTTTATTAACTTTCTTTTTTTTAAAAAGCAAAAGAATTGCTTTCATAGAGTAGGAATATACAGTATAGAAATAATATCTTTAACCCTTCAAATGCGCGAATCAAACATGGACGATTTAAAGTACTGCTTAAGCTCACTTATCTGAATGCAACCCGTTCTTGCACTTTCTTACAGTCAATATTGACTTATTAAATAAGTGCATATGTGACATACTAATTTATTGTGAATGTTTTAGTTTACCTTGAAAAGCTTCATAGAAAACACCGACCTTACCTAACCTTCTTAGTATGTTAAGATAAGCATTTTATTGCTTCGTAATTACAATTATTACTTAACCTATAATAGATTAAGTAATAATTGTAATTACGAAGCAATAAGATGCTTATCTTAACATACTAAGAAGGTTAGGTAAGGTCGGTGTTGTCTATGAAGCTTTTCAAGGTAAACTAAAATATTCACAATAAATTAGTATGTCACATATGCACGTATTAAATAAGTCAATATTGACTATACGAAAGTGCGAGAACGGGTTGCTGAATTACTGTATATGGGAAGGACCCCCTGCCGGATAAGCGGAATTCTTACAGGGAAGTACAAAAATTACTATACAGTGGCACCTCGACTTACGATTACCCCTGCTTACGATAATTTCGAGTTATGATGTAAATTTCATCGAAAAATGCGACTCAACATCCGATGGTGTCGTCGACTTGCGATATTTGTTGGTACACGTTCGGGTCGACCGAGTGCGTGGTTCCCAGTCACGCGGCCGACCTACCTCAGTTTACTACAGCTGCCCGCTTAGTGACGATCGCGCCTATAAGAAATTTTGTTTTTGTGGTGATTTTTTGCATTTTGAACATTAAAGTAATTATTATATATCACGGCATGAGTCCCAGGAAAGTCGGTGGTAAGGCTCAACGTATGAGATCCCATGTAAGGATGACCATAGAGCAGAAACCAGAGATTATTCGTAAATATGAAGATGGTGTGCAGATTGTTGGACTGGCTAGGCAGTACAGTACAACAAATCTCAGTCAATGATATTCACCATACTGGCTAAGAAAAAGGACATTATGGGTGCTAAAGTGATGCATCATTACAGACAAATATTGAAACGAAGGGAAAAACAAATGTCTCTTGACAAATTTGTATCGAGACAAACAAGCACTGAATCACAACCAGGTCCTAGTGGTATTCAGGCAAAACATAGGAGAGAGAGAGTACCCCAGAGAAAACATCACTGCCTGATGTGATAATGGAAGGGGACTTCCCTTCCAAACAGTAAAAGCTCTCCTCCTTCCCCCTCATCACCCATCTTCCATATGCCATTAAGAGCCCTCCATAAAGGTAAGATAAACTTAGGTACTGTATTGTAGTTAGAAAGAAACATTGTATTCAGTACAAATGTATTTGTATGTTAATATTTTAGAGGGTGGGGAACGGATTAATTCAAATCCCTTTATTTCTTATGGGAAAAATCGGTTCGACTTACGATATTTTGACTTACGATCCGTCTCTGGGAACAGATTAGCATCGTAAGTCGAGGCCCCATTGTATTAGCAATTTGTTTGAAGCACAACCACCATAACTAATTTCCATACACTATAAATAAAAAATATAATTCAAGAGAAACTATCTTGCCTTGTAGTTCTCTTGTGTGATACTATAGATTTTGAAGTGTGTAGTTCTTGAAAATTTATGTAACCTAATCTCCAGTTATCTGAATTTGTTCGGATAACCCAAATACAGGGGTACCTCGGTTTACGAATTTAATCCGTTTCTGGAGACGATTCGTAACCTGAAAATTCGTAAACTGAAGCAAATTTCCCCATAAGAAATAATGGGAAATGAATTAATCTGTTCCTGACTCCCCAAAAACCTCACTTCAAAGTAAATTTTATACCTAATTCACCCAAATCTTCACTACAAAAGTATGTTCAAGTTACTACTTACCCTTGCTGATGACTCATGTTGGCGTATGAAGATTGTGAGGAGGGGGGGGGAGGAGGAGAGGTGTTACTGTTTGAAAGGGGGGGGGGGTGTCCCTTTCCACTGTAACATCAGGCAGTGAAGATTTCTCTGGAGTGCACACTCTAGCACGTTTTGCCTGCATACAACTAGATCCTGGTTGTGGCTTACTGCTTGATTTTCTCACAAGGAAACATTCCTTTAAAGATTGTTTTTCCCTTTGCAACACTTGTCTGTAGTGAGGCATCACATTGTCATTGAAAAGATTAATGCAATGGCCTACTACAGCTTTCTCTGGGTGAGTCGTTTCAATAAAAGTTTGCATTTCTTTCCACATCCTACACCACTTCCTAATTGTTGAGGAAGGGACATTCTCTACTGCCTCATCCTCTGAAGAAATATCCTCAGCTGCCTCTTGTTGCTGCTCCTTTTGAAGGGCTTGGAGTTCTTCGGTGGTCAGTTCTTCGTTGTGTTCTTCAACCAACTCCTCCATATCAGCACCATTCAATTCCAAGCCCATTTTCCGGCCCAGAGTAACAATTTCCTTAACAATAGGCACTTCACTTACAAGCTCAAACCCCTCAAAGTCTAGTTCTGACACACATTCAGGCCACAATTTTATCCAGCCAGAGATCAGGGTTCTTCGAGTCTCTTCTTGCCAGACTGTCAACGAGTTTTAAAGCACTACATATGTTAAAATGGTTTTCCAGAACTCTTTGAGGGTGAGGTTTGTGGCATTAGTCACTTCAAAACATATCTGGAAAAGTGCCCTTTCATAAAGTTTCTTAAAATTCGCTATGATTTTCTGGTCCATAGGCTGAATTAGAGGAGTGGTGTTAGGAGGAAGGAACTTTGTGACAAAATTAAATTTGTTCAACAATGGACCTGGAGGACGAGCAGGAGCATTGTCGAAAAGCAGGACCTTGAGTGGCAAACTTTTCTCCTGCAGATATTTTTGTATGGCAGGGCATACCACATCATTTACCCACTCCGTAAAAATAATCCTAGTCACCCATGCCCTCCACATCACACACATTTGGTTTTTCTGCACACTATATTTTTTTAAAACCTTTAGATTTTCAGAATGATACACAAGTAAGGGCTTAATTTTCAAATCCCCACAGCACAAGCGTAAACCTATCTTTTATAGGCTTGTGTCCAGGCAATGATTTCTCCTCGTGAGTAATGTATGTCCTCTTAGGCAATCTTTTCCAGAGCAGTCATGTCTCATCACAATTAAACATTTGTTGCAGTAGGAATCCTTCAGCCTCTACAAAATCTTTAAATTCTTTAATAAATCTTTCAGCCACTGGTTTATCTGAGCTGGCAGCCTCCCCATGCCTCACAACACTATGAATACCATTTCTTTTTTAAACCATCCCCTGCTTGCTTTAAAGTCTTTCGTATCTGCACTCGTTCCAGGGGTTTTCTTTACAAGGTCTTCGTGCAATACCCTGGCTTTCTCACAAATGATGGCCTCTGAAACACTATCACCTGCTAACTCCTTGTTGTGTATCCAAATTAATATCAACTTTTCCACATCCTTAAGTATTTGTGTTCTTTGTTTCGTGATTATTGATACACCTTTTGCCATTTAAGCATTCAAAATGTCATTTTTCTTGGCAAGTACAGTGCATATTGTTGACATGGATTTGTTGTATTGCTTAGCTAGTTCAACAACACGAGTACCATTTTCATGCTTACGAATGATCTCTTGGTTTTTCTCTATGGTCATTCTCACATGTGATTTCTTGCCTTGAACCTTACTACTGGCTTTCTTGGGACTCATGGCAAGATATATAATAACTTTTATGCTCAAATAGCCAAAAAGAAACTGTAAATCCTTGCGAAGAATTCAAGTGGGATAGTCACTGGGCGTGAGGCGCTGGTAAACTGAGGCGCGATCGCCGTGCCACCACGCTCTAGGTTGGCCGTATGCATATCAACAAACTCGTATCCTGAGGTAAAGTTTGTATCCCGATTCAAATTTTCCGAACAAATCGGGCTCGTAACCCGAAAAGTTTGTGAACCGAGGTACCACTGTACTGTATTTGGTTTAGCGGGCTTTGAATAACAGAGCTCGTACAGTACCACATAAGACTTAAAAGTCTCGCAAGTGCACAGGGCTCATATCTGCTTCCTTAGGCCCACAGTAAACAGATGCCATCTTGGCCACCCAGAGCCAGTGACCAAGGTGGCGCCATGAAACTTTTCATCGTCAATCTGAGAGCAACAAGAACCCTCTGAAGCGACAGCCTCACCACAGCGAACTCCCGCACCATGCTGTAAGCTTGACGGAGGGACGGACCCCACTGACCTTGGCTGGCCTGGTGAGCACTGGTCGCAAACCCCCAGCCAAGAGATGATGAATCCGTGTAATGAAAGTATCAAGTGAGGGCTTGGGTAGGCGTCACGGCACCGAACCCCGAAAAACCCGAAGAGGAAACCAACGATGCAAGGTCCCTAAGGCCGAACCCAACAATCGCGAGTGCAGTGAAAGAGACGTCCCTGAAGGAACCAGAACAGCTGCTGAAGCCAGACCTGACCTGGTGGGTAAACCAGCACGGCGAAGTTCAGACTCCCTCACTGATGCTCGAGCAACCGACGCATGACCTGGGAGCCCTCCAGAAACAGCCGAAGGTGGGACCGCAGCCGTAGCAACAACGCCTGTGGTAGAGGCAAAGAAGTGGTTCAAGAGTTCGGTGAGCTGGGAAACGACCAATCCCCTGGCGTGCAGACACGCTGACCAGATGGGAGCCCACACCAGCCTGTCGTTGAGGTAGGCCAGAACCCGTACTCCTAGTAGATGCAAACGGGTCACCGCGACTCTGGTAAGGCATGTGAAAACACGAGCTGCCAGATTCAAGCCGAATGGAAGGCAACAAAAGCAGTAAGCATGTCGCCCCTTGACAAACCTAAACCAGTCCCTGAACCCCAGATGAAATGAGATGTGTCAATATGCGTCCTGGAGATCCAGAGACATCATCGAACTTGGGACAAAGTGGTCATTCGAAAGGAGGGGCAAAAGACCCAGTGGTTCAGATGGGACAAGTCCAGAATGAACCTCAGATCCACACAGTCCTGTTTTGGATCTGAAAACAGGTGGGAGACCCACCTGAGGGACGAGGTTGTTTAAACCACGCATTACCCCCATGAGCGCTCATCAAGAGCAATAAAATGTATATACTCTTTTCAACTTTGTTACCTCAATGCTCGTCCTAGGTCTTTCATTTTGTTATCAATGTATGAAACAATCTTCCTCCTTGTGTCCCTGAAGGCCTGTCACTTGTTTAACTATATAAACAATGTTTTATTTAACTTAACCAAGAAGAAAGCCAGTATAGTACAAACCACTGTGGTTGTGTTTCAGTGTAGAGTACAGAGGATGGATGAATGCACAGCAATTGGTTCCCCCTCACAGTTCGATAGGTACCAGAGTGGTGGAGATAGGCAGCATTTGGGAACATACCCGCTGTGATGCATTTACACACAGCATCTACACCACCTGTGAATAAAAAACAAAGCAGCATTAAATTTAGTGAAATGCCTCTTTCTGGTACAGCCCTGGTGCTCCTTGCAGTTAACTTGCTGAGGTAGCTTCCCAATACTGAGTCCTAACAGTCATAGGAGTCCTGTTGGCTTACTGGGACCAGTCAGAACCTAGCTTTTTCAGAGAATGTGAAGAACTTCCTAGCCACTAGAACTGACACAGAAGGAACATGATGAAAAGACACAGAGGTGAAAAGATTGGCAGGAAACTTCATGCTGTTGTCATGGTTAAAGATGTAGGTGGGACACTGACAATTCTGCCACCTGCACACCACACAAATGCAGTGACACCTCGGCTTACGAATGCCCCACCTTACGAATTATTCAGGTTACGAGTCCAATTTCTTTGTAAAATTTGAATCGGTTTATGAACTTTGGATGGAATACACAACTCGTCTGTAGCAGGTTGTGTGTATTCCATCCCTTGTAATGAGTGAGCATGTGTTTACATCAGCTACACGGGTAAATCTCTTTCCTCGTGTTTAAAACAGCATTCATATGCTATTCGTACAGCCCAGCACTCCAGTGCATTGTATTTACATTCCAGTTTATGTGATCATTCTATCGACTTCATAGGAGCAAAATGTATTGTTAAAAGTAAGGATTTCGTTGAATGAAACGTGATCGAGTCTGCTCTGATCAAACACTGTAACAACAGCCTTAACCCTTAAACCGTGGAAATCATATATATACTTTCCGTGGCAAAACCGAAACCGCGCATGCCATGTAGTGTATGTATGATTTCGTGTCTAGCGCTATAATTTAAACTCCCCGCCTGGGATAGGGACAGCTATAGTGCAGCCACGACCGATAGTTGCCAGATGCCACCTAGAAAAAAAAATCCAGGTCAACATTTTTGGGTGTGAGAGCGTCAGTATTGAGCAAGCCACCAAGACTGGCGCACGCAGCACGAGCTCACAGCACCGCTGTTCAGCTGTTGATCACAGCATCGCCTACAAATGCCATAATATATATGATCATGCTATTAGTTAGCAATGATAGTATTATAGACCCCTGTGATAAAACTGACCAGGATTCTGATAACAGGATTGTGGTGATATTTAGTGCTGGGCTCCATGGAAGGAGTAAGGCTGTGGGAAGGAGGGTGGTGGCGTCGTTTTCTGACTGTGTGGGGCCACCTTTTATTGATTGCACTCACCATACCAGCTTAGTGGTTCGCTATGGTGAACACAAATGTCAGCCCGTCCTCCAAACAAAGATCCAAAAGTGATTCCATGCACCCGCCAAACCCCCTGTTTATGAAAGAAAAGCGGTTTACACACGACTCACAACTGCTGACGTTCGAACATATCCGGAACAAGTGCTTCACTGACGAATTTTGTTCGAATCACAACGCTATAAATGCTTCACCCATGTACTACAAATACAAATAATCGCCAACAGAACCTAAACACCTAACCTAACCTATCCTATGCCTATATATACACAATATGCTAATATAATATTAATTTATACTTGAGAAATTTCCCGTTTTGAATGAACAGCATGTTAAAATTTATGAATGCGTCTGTGGGGTTGACCGCTGGATGTAATGGACTCGAGTCGAGGACGGGTTGCAAATGTAGATACTTATATATAATGTGTGTATAGAGTCTGATAACAGCAATAGGGGTAGGTTGGGAGGCGCCATTTTGGTGAGGGAGGTGTGTCGTCTGCACGACTTATCATGTTGTTTACTGGTGGCCACTATGGTCTTTGGGCACCATACCAGCTTATTTGTATAGGTATGGTGAATAAAACAGGTAGATACTTATATACAATGTGTGTATATAGCGTAATAACACCACAAACAATATTGTTAGAGGAGAAATATTAGTGCATCTGGCCTTGTGGGCGGCCGCCACCAGCTGACTGTGTGAGTAGCTACGTCTTTGTGCCTTTACTCACCATACAAGCTTAGATGTACAGTTATGGTGAACAAAACATGTAAATGCTTATATATAACGTCTGTGTATAGTAAATAAATGCACAAACAGTATTGTGGGAGGAGAATGAGGGTAAGTGAGGTGTTGTTGAGGCAGGGAGTGGCAGCTAGTGGCTGGCTGGTGTGTGGCGGTCACGCCTCGTTGCTTTTTGACTCACAATACCAACTTAGTGGTTCGTTATGGTGAACAAAACATGCAAATATTTATATATAACCTGTGTATATAGTGTAATAACAGCAAAACTATTTGTTTATTGTTTTATGAACATAATAATTGAATAACTAATATGCACACCATAATTTTGAGTACAGCGATGGTTCACACATTTTATTATATAAATATATCACAATTCACTGCATTGAATAATATTACTGCAAAAGAAATAAGAACAAGTTAATCAGACACATTGAAATAATTAGGTAATAATATATTTGTGGCAACTGCCGCCCGACAGCTATTAACCCTTACACTGCTCAGGGGTCCTTGGGACATTTACACTCCTGTGCGCAAGGAAAAAAAAAATCAAAAATTTTTTTTCGTCTTCTAAACATGTTAATTTGTGTCCCCTGAGCATGGAAAAAAAAAAAAAAAAAAATCGTAGGCGACATATTTTGGGCGCAATTGACCGAGGAAGTCTTGCAAAAAGTGGGCGTTGACAGAGCGGTCGTCAGGCCCAGTCAGCGTCACCCGCGCTGACAGATGGGAGTTGCCACAAAGATGATATTACCTAATTGTTTCAATGTCTCTGATTGATTTTTTCTTAGTTTTTTTGCAGTAATATTATTCAATACTGTGTATTGTAATATATTTATATAATAAAAGTGGTGAATAATCGCTATACTCAAAAGTATGATGTGCATATTAGTGATTCAATTATTATGTTTATAAAACAATAAACAAATAGTTTTGCTGCTATTACACTCTATACACAGGTTATATATTAGTATCTGCATGTTTTGGTCACCATAACGAACCACTAAGTTGGTATCGAGAGTCGAAAAGCAACGAAGAGTTACCGCCACACACCAGCCAGCCACTCGCTGCCACTCCCTCAACACACGCACTAAACTTTCTCCCCCAACAATACCATTTGTGGTGTTATTACACTATATACAGACGTTATATATAAGTATGTATATATTTTGTTCACCACAACTGTACAGCTAAGCTGATATAGTTAGTTCAGGCACTAAGAGTCGTCGCTACACACAGATGGCGGCTCCATCACTCTTTCAAGGTCACATGCACTAAGCTGATATAGTTAGTTCAGGCACTAAGAGTTGTCGCTACACACAGATGGCGGCTCCATCACTCTTTCAAGGTCACATGCACTAAACTTTCTCCCCCAACAATACCTTTTGCAGTGTTATTACCCTATATACACATATTATATATAAATATCTACATGTTTTATCCACCGTAACTGTACACCTAAGCTTGTAGTGTGCCCAAAGATCATAGTGGCCACCCTCTAAACAGCTAGACAAATCGTGCAGACGACGTCACCTCCGTCACCCATATGGCTCCTCCCAGCATAATCCTTTTGCTGTTATTACACTAATACACACATTATATATAAGTATCTACATTTGTGTTCACCATAAAGAACCACTGACCTGGTATGGTGAATGCAAACAATAACAGCTAGCCACACAGTCAGTAAACGATGCTGTCTCCCTCCATCTCTCAGCATCACTCCTCTCACAGCGCTAATTATTACAACAATCCTGCTATTATCACAACCCTGGTTATTTATATCACAGTCATGGGTCATCTGTAATATTGTTATCGCTAAATAATAACAATTATATATTTATTTTGACATTTTTCGGCGATGCTGTGGTCACAAGCTGAACAGCAATGCTGTTCGCTCATGCTGCGTGCGCCGGCCTTGGTTGCTCCAACAGTACTGTGCCTCTCACACCTGAGAATATTGCCCACGATTTTTTTTTTAAATGGCATCTGTTTACAAGAGCCCTGAGGAAGCTACTGTGAACCCCGTGTAGCCGCGGGCCATTTGAATCAGGCCTGGCACCCTATGGCGTATATATACGCCATGCGCACCATGGGACATGTTACTCAGGGCGTATATATACGCCATGCGCAGTTTAAGGGTTAACCACTGTTTTGACTCTCCATGTTTTGTGTAAGCAGTGAACACATTTAATAGTGTAATTAAGTCTCCTTCATTAACCTGAGAAAAGAAATTCATTATTATTTCCAAAAGCAAAATTTGTGTGACTATATTCATAAATTGTATTATAGATGGTAATCATTCTTTCATTCTATATACAATACCAGTACTTTTTTTGACATGCAGAGCCCCGGTAGTAATCAAGATCAAATCATGATTTCTGAACATCTGGTGAGCAAGTCAATATTATTCTGGGATACAGTATTTGTATGAATATAAGCTGCCGTCAAATGCCATAATATTTATAAAAAAACAAAAAAACAAAAACAGCGTTGAATGTAATGAAATGCCATTTTCTGGGTGAGCCCCAGAGGCTTCCTGAAGCTTATTGGGCTAATGTATGTTATATTAGACCGGGACATTAGCTAAGGAGTTCAGACTTACCAGGGACCAGCGCCAGAACCTGGCCCCTTCAGAGAGGTTTCAGGGAGCAAAGGCCATATTTTATATATTTTATATATATCTGGCTATATTTTACTAGAAAGAATTTGATAATCAAAATATTATTTTATGTATGCATTATTCCATTAATAGGTGCATATTAACAGTATAAGATTTACCCCCACCTAAAGGGTGTGCATGGAAATAGCTCTAAATTTAATATAAATTTACAGTTCATTTAACTAGATTTATTTGATTTCATGTTTGCATTTATTATAGGAGATCCAAGAGTCACAGGTTCTCTTAATTATTAATATAATTCTGGTCCTTCGAAATTATTTACTATTATTGTATTGTAGAGCTAATTTTCCCCACACCTATTGTCTGTTGGGTCGCTGAAACCTTCGACCCTGAGTCATATGGGGGTGTGCTCCCGTCACGTGTCTCTTCATCCCAGCCTTCCTGTTGATGTTTGGGCATCCAAGGCAGTGACTGCTCTTCAGCTTCATTCTCTAGGTTACAGCAGTCCTACAAGATGCAACAAGAGCCTAGCCCACACAACACACTTATAGAATAGAATATTCTATCAGGATAGAAAACATACACATGAAGTTAACATTAAAATAATGAACAACACAACACACAAATGGCCCCTGCAGAAAAATAAAGTTCAAGAATTCCAGGCACTTAGCTTGAAGCAGCAGGGCTTGTCCACAATTGGTGGACTGGAGCACTATATGCAGAATTTCCCCTACACATACAGAGCATAACTGGCTAACCTCTCAGTGTTCATAAGAGAACTCAACAGACACCTTGAAAGGATACCTGATCATCCAGGCTGTGGCTTTTATGTCAGGCTGTGAGCAGCAACATCGAACAGCTTGATTGATCAGACCAGCACCTAGTAGGCCTGGTCAGAGACTGGGCAGCAGGGACATTGATCCTTGGAATCAACAGGTAGTCAATAGGTATGTAGTCAACGACATAAGCTCGCTGCCTGGTGGTGGTGATCGGCATTAACGACTTTTGAATTAGTTTGAGTGAATTCCTTGTTGTGTATGAATTGCTTAGCAGTTTCGAGACATTGCTTTCAGTAAACCCTCCAGGTATCTGTAATGCTTCGCTGATTATCTTCAGGCTTTTTCAGGTGGGATGGTGAATTGTTACGCAGTCCCTGTGCCTCTGTGAGGGAGGACAGATTCTGGCTCTGGTCGGCCAAACGGAACTTCTGTGATTGATGTGGCATATAGTATGGAGAAATTTTAGCAAGACAGCCTCAAGGAGCACCAAATTCTCAGAATGAATGGGGGGGGGGGGGGGGGAACCTTTGACAAACCACCGGCTTCCTGTCCTTGTCGTGGCCAATAGATAGAAGGTGCCCTCAGGGAAATTCAGGTTTAAGTGGTGAGGGAGGATTGCCTGCTTTGGTAACCCAGGAAGCAGTTGAGCATGACTTGTGAAGCACTTCTTTTGGTTAAGGGATAGGAGACAGACTAAGAATGTTTTATCTTATCAGGTTGGGCTCTGTGGCCCACATAAACATACTACTTTTTTGTCACAAATATACATCTTTTCACATACCTGGAAACTTCGGTGGTTAGCACGTGCATGGCATTCTTGACCTCGAGGTATTGTGAATACATTTTGAACTTGCAACATTGCCAGAATTGACAAAATCTCTTGTGAACACCCAAAGTCACCTGAAATAAATCCATAGAATCTTAATAATTTTTTTTCTTGCAATGTATTTGTTATCATTTTATTAATTCTGCTAGAATTTACCTACTTAAAATTATCTGTTAGATTAACCCTTAACATGCTCGGGGTATAATATCCTTTGTTCCCCACAGGAGCATGTAATTTTGAAAAAAAACAAAAAAATTCTTGCTAATCTGTTAATTTGTGTTCACTGATCATGGGAAAAATAATAAAAAATTCGTAAGTGGCATATATTGCCCGCTATAGGGCGCGGAAGTCTGGCAAAAAACAGGAGAAGACAAAAAACAGGAAAAAACTGACTCAGCGTGCGTCCCAGGCGGTCTGTTGATCGCCAGCTGTCAGGCCGGAGTTGCCACAAAGAGATAATTACCTAATTATTTCAATGTCTCTGATTTTTCATAGTTTTTTGCTGTAATATTATTCAATAGTGTGTAGTTTGATATATTTATATAATAAAATGAGTGAATCATTGCTGTACTCAAAAATATGGTGTGCATATTGTTGATTCAATTATTATGTTCATCAAGCAGTGAACAAATACTTTGTCAGTCATTACACTATATAATAGGTTATATATAAGTATTTGCATGTTTTGTTCACCATAACGAACCACTAAGTTGCTATTATGAGTCAAAAAGTAACGAGGAGTGACCGCCGTGTACTAGCCAGCCACTCACACCCTCCCTCAAGTTACCTGACTTGCCCACATACTCCTCCCACAATACTGTTTTTTGCTTTTATTCCCTATATACAGACGCTATATATAAGTATCTACATTCGTGTTCACCATAACGAACCACTAAGTTGGTATGGTGAGTGGCAGTAGCAGTGGCAGCCAGTGGCAGCCCGCCACTGGCTGCCACTCCCTCCCTCCTTCACCTCACCTGACTTGCCACCATTCTCCACCCACCATACTGTTTTTGCTTTTATATACAGACGTTATATATACGTATTTACATGTTTCGTTCGCCATAACTGTACATCTAAGCTTGTATGGTGAGCAAAGGCACAAAGACGTAGGACCTCACACAGTAAGCTGATGGCTGATACTTCTCCAACAATACTGTTTGTGGTGTTATTACGCTATATACACACATTATATATAAATATCTACCTGTTTTATTCACCATACTTGTACAAGTAAACTGGTATGGTACCCACAGACCATCGTGGTAACCGGTAAACAGCACCGTTGTCTGCACGGTGGTGTCGTGCAGACGACGCCACCGCCCTCACCAAAATGGCGGCTCCCAACCTACTCCTCTTGCTGTTTATACCCTCTATACACACGTTATATATAAGTATCTACATTTGTGTTCACCATAGCGAACCACTAAGCTGGTATGGTGAGTGCAGTCAATAAAAGGTGGCCACACACAGTCAGAAGACATCGCCACCACCCTCCCTCCCACAGCATTACTCCTCCCTCCATGGCGCACAGCGCTAAATATCATCACAATCCTGCTATTATCAGAACCCTGGTCAGTTTTATCACAGTCAGGGGTCTTCTGTAATAATAATCACCGCTACATAATAGCATGAACAAGTATATTATGGCAGTTTTAGGCGATGCTGTGGTCACAAGCTGAACAGCAGTGCTGTGAGCTCATGCTGCATGCGTCAGGCTTGGTAGCTCACTCAATACTGAGGCCCCTAACACACGGGAGTTTGGCCCACGATTTTTAAAAAAAATGGCGTCTGTTTACAAGAGCCCTGATGAAGGTGTGGTGAACCCTGTGTATCCGCGGGTCGTTTAAATCTTGCGTAGTACTCCAACACGTCATATGACGTGATGCGCACTTTTTCTGTAAATTACTCAACACATCATATGACGTGTTGCGCAGTTTAAGGGTTAAGGACCTGCCCGAAATGCTGCGCGTACTAGTGGCTTTACAAGATTGTAAATACTATGCTATGTATTCTCACAAACCCAATGTATCTTTTTGTATATAAATAAATAAATAAATATGCCTGTCTGTATCAGTGATAATACACAATATATTAAAATGAATGGCAGCTTTGGTGATTTATTGGAAATACATGTATATTTCATTATCATTACCCTGTTTCCCACTTTCACTGGGTAGGGAGGCATCTGCCTGGAGAAAAAGGGTCAATAATATATTCAAATAAATAAGAGTTGAATGTAATGAAACATCTTTTCTGGTGGGGCTCCTAAGTAGCATTCTGAGCTAAGCTCTGGTCGAGCCAAACCTTGGGGAGATACACCATTTTTTCATCATATGGGTTCACAGGCACATCTACAAGGTACCAGGAATAAAAAACAAAAAAAAAAAACAGCATTTGGATGTAACTTGACGCCATTTTCTGGGTGAGACCCGGAGGCTCCACAGAGCTATCCAGGCTGATGTGTTACTATTAGCTTTCTGGCATCAGTCAAAGTGCATGGAGTTCTTGCCTACCAGGGACCACGAGCCAGAACCTGGCCCCCTCAGAGAGGCATGAGGAGCAATGGCCTATAGAAAGGCCTGTGTGGTTGGAAGCATTCTATGTCTGCCATCGACCGGGTCTGGCACCCAGCAAGGTAAGCGCCCCAAAACAAACCCCTATTCTGGTGAAAACATTGCTACTGAAAGCCGAATGAGTGGACTAAACTCCCCAAACGAAAACTAGCAACTAGCATGACGTTGTCACATCGCTGCGCCACCGCCTGCGAACCCTCTCCCTCCCTGGGAGGGGGAAGGGGAAGTCCCAGACCTCCACGCCGGTAATCCAACCTCCAGTTCTTAAGCTGGATGTCAAAAACACATGAAAACACCTCCGACCGGATGATAGGAGGGATGCCGGGGAGCCTCCGGTTCTCACCCAGAAAATGGCGTTTCGTTATATTCAATGCTGGTTTGAAGACTTCAACATTTGTTCTGACAATATTTCTTATTCTTGCTTGGAGGATATTGAACAACCGTGAATCTCTGATGTTCATACGATGTTCTCTGATTGTGCCTATGGCACCTCTACTTTTCACTGGCTTTATTCTGCATTTCTTTCCAAATTGTTCACTCCAGTATGTTGTTATTTTACCATGCAAATTTGGAACCTGGCCTTCCAGTATTTTCCATGTTCAGTATATATTATTTGATACCTATCATCTCCTTTCTAGAAAGTACATTTTGAGCTTAAGAGAATGCAGGCGATAAGTCATAATAACGTGGTTGAAGTATGTTGACCAGACCACACACTAGAAAGTGAAGGGACGACGACGTTTCGGTCCATCCTGGACCATTCTCAAGTCAATTGTGACTTGAGAATCACAATCGACTTGAGAATGGACCAGGACGGATCGAAACGTCGTCGTCCCTTCACTTTCTAGTGTGTGGTCTGGTTAAGAGACAATCCCAATAGTTTAGGTGCTCTATCATGTCTGTGTGTGCCTTATATGTTCTCTGTATTCCATCTATCTCAGCAATCTCTCCTGCTCTGAAGGTGGTATCAAGCAGTACTTAATGCGGGACAGCATTTGAATAGTATGGGCATTGCGGTGAGATCCCTGGGTTTAAAGGTTCTCATAACCCATCCATTCTTCAACATTACAGGACTGGATAACCTAGGATAAATACTTTCTACAGCACTGCAACAAGAATGTTACTGGCATTGCAATAATGATATTACTTGCACTGCAACAATGAGGTTACTGGTACTGCTACTGCTAAATCATAATAGTCATCCAACCATTAGGTTAGACCTTCTAACCTTCAGGTTAGATAACAGCTCCACAAAACATAACTCATGAACACACAGTCTTACTGATAACGACAGGGCTCTGTGGGCCATCAGGACCAGAGGGCCAATACTTAAAGGAAGGAACATTGTTAGTCCACTATTTATTGTTTGACCATATGAGAGGTTTCACAAGCCCCACTCGATTGCCTTCCAGGTTGAATAAACTTCTCTCACCATGTAAAGGTAGTTCTCAAGTGGGCCTTCATCCACCAGCCTTGCAGTTAAGTTGCACAAATTAAATATTAGCCGATTCACAGGAACATTATTAATAGTATCTATTTACAATACCACTGTAACTTTACCTGAAACCAGTAAAATCTTGGCTAATTGGGGAGGTAATGGGAATTCTGCCATTTGCTGTCCCAGAGGCTTAGTGAGGGTACCCTCTTCAGTGAGAGCTCCCAGGGCAAAGAGTTCATCTAGTGCTGCTGATAAATGTTTTGCTGGTGGTGGTGACGGAAAATCAAATCGCAACATGTTTTCTGAAACAAATTTCCATGTTATTACAAATAAAATTTAAACAAATTTTTATTGGAAAAACTTACTACAATGCCGTAGTGCTTGAATGAAGGTGAAAGAAAGACCCCATTATATGTGTAGGGGCTCCCCCTTCCCCCTCCTGGGGAGGGGGAAGGGGGAGCCCCAGACCTCCTGCACTGGCGATCCACACCCTAGTTCTGAGAATGGATGTCAAAACACGCGAAAAAAACGCAGACGGGAGGGAGGGATGCCGGGGATCCTCCGGGTCTCACCCAGAAAATGGCGTTTCATTACATTCAACGCTGGTTTTCTGGGGAGAGCCCCTATGGCTCCCCGGAGCTAACTCACCACAGAGGAAGAATAAGGACTAACCCGGTAGGCGGTCACTACTCACTCCTCAACCCGAAGCCGAGACAACTGGCTGCATCCACCAACCCAAGCGACACAGGCCCGACCGAGCCCAGGGACGTAAACAAGGCAACGAGCAGCCAGGACCCTGTTTGAATGCCAAAATTCCCATGCCCGAATGTCCGCCCAAGACACAGTCCCAAAGAACGGCAGCAAGAGCCGCGAACTTGCGAACGTCACGGGCACGGGGATAGACCGCAGGCTGGCCAGACTTAACCCTTAAATGGCGCATGGCTATATACCATTTGACACCCACAGGCGCATACAAAAAATCTTTTTTCTTCCTAACCTGTTAATTTGTATTCACTGATCATGGGAAAAATAATAAAAAATCGTAGGTGGCATATATTGCCCGCTATAGGGCGCAGAAGTCTGGCAAAAAACAGGCGCTGACTCAGCGTGCGTCCCAGGTGGTCTGTTGATTGCCAGCTGTCAGGCCGGAGTTGCCACAAAGAGATAATTACCTAATTATTTCAATGTCTCTGATTGATTTTTCGTAGTTTTTTTGCTGTAATATTATTCAATAGTGTGTAGTGTGATATATTTATATAATAAAATGAGTGAATCATCGCTGTACTCAAAAATATGGTGTGCATATTGTTGATTCAATTATGTTCATCAAACAGTAATAACCGACTTTGTCGGTTATTACACTATATACACAGGTTATATATAAGTATCTGCATGTTTTGTTCACCACAACGAACCACTAAGTTCCTATTATGAGTCAAAAAGTAACGAGGAGTGACCGCCGTGTACCAGCCAGCCACTCACGCCCTCCCTCAAGTCACCTGACTCACCCACATTCTCCTCCCACAATATTATTTTTGCTTTTATTCACTATATACAGACACTATATACAAGTATCTACATTCGTGTTCACCATAACGAATCACTAAGTTGGTATGCTGAGTGGCAGTGGCAGCCCGCCACTGGCTGCCACTCCCTCCCTCACCTCACCTGACTTGCCACCATTCTCCACCCACCATACTGTTTTTGCTTTTATATACAGACGTTATATATAAGTATTTACATGTTTTGTTCACCATAACTGTACATCTAAGCTTGTATGGTGAGTAAAGGCACAAAGACATAGGACCTCACACAGTCAGCTGGCTGCCGCCCTCAAGGCCAGACGCACTAATATTTCTTCTCCAACAATACTGTTTGTGGTGTTATTACGCTATATACACACAATATGTATAAATATCTACCTGTTTTATTCACCATACTTGTACAAGTAAACTGGTATGGTGCCCAAAGACCATCGTGGTCACCAGTAAACAACATGAAAAATCGTGCAGACGACGCCAGCACCCTCACCAAAATGGTGGCTCCCAACCTACTCCTCTTGCTGTTTATACCCTCTATACACACGTTATATATAAGTATCTACATTTGTGTTCACCATAGCGAACCACTAAGCTGGTATGGTGAGTGCAGTCAATAAAAGGTGGCCACACACAGTCAGAAGACATGGCCACCACCCTCCCTCCCACAGCATTACTCCTCCCTCCATGGCGCACAGCGCTAAATATCACCACAATCCTGCTATTATCAGAACCCTGGTCAGTTTTATCACAGTCAGGGGTCTTCTGTAATAATATCATCGCTACATAATAGCATGAACAAGTATATTATGGCATTTTTAGGCGATGCTGTGGTCACAAGCTGAACAGCAGTGCTGTGAGCTCATGCTGCATGCGTCAGGCTTGGTAGCTCACCCAATACTGAGGCCGCTAACACCCGGAAATTTGGCCCACGATTTAAAAAAAAAATGGCGTCTGTTTACAAGAGCCCTGATGAAGGTGTGGTGAACCCCGTGTATCCGCGGGCCATTTAAATCTTGCGTAGTACTCCAAAGCATCACATGACGCGATGCGCAATTTACTGCAAGTTGGTCAAAGCATATGATGCGATGCGCAATTTAAGGGTTAATAACCCTGCGGACGACCTGGGAGACCCGCACCTGCAAACAGGGAAGAAGGGAAACCGGATCAACCCAAAGCGTGTCCACAGACACAGAAGCTGTGGCGCACCAATAACGGCGGAGAACCACAACCGGGCACAAAACATGATGCATCCCCTTCCTAACCAACAAAGCATCAACAACTCAGGGACCCCTCCGGAAAGCAGCAGTCTCATTCTTCACCAGAAAAGGAGGAGAAGGCTGCAGAAGAACAAAATGATCACCCCGACCAAAGGAGAAGAAACCCCAGAGCTGGAGGAGAGCATGAAGCTCACCAATCCGACCCCCAGAGGCTAATGCCAACAGGAAAAAGAGCGCCCTAGAAACAAACCGGAATCGAAGGGGCCACAAGAAACTGGGGAGAAGAAATGAGAGCACCCAGTCCAACTACCAGGATGACCCAGACGCGCCTGAGCTGGCCGGAGGTGAACCAACACACTAGACAGCTTGCAGAACGGCGCAGCAGTAACATCAACACCGAACGCAAGCGGAAGCGGCTGCTCCAGTGCCGCACGAAACAAGGTGACAGTATGCGGCAAAATGACGGCCCCGAAGTCTCATAAGAGAAGAACAAGACCACGCCAACAAAACACAGCTACCTAAGAAGGGATAGAAGGAAAAAGGAAGGACCGCCAAAATACCCAACACTGCCGTCAAGAAGAAGCACACAGGTGGGACACCATCAACGAAGCCATCTGATCACCAACAGAAGGCGGGACTCCAGGCAGAGCCGAACCAGCCCCGCCACAGACCAAATGAGCCGTAGAAGAGACGGAGCCGCGGGAAGATCTCGAGTGCGACCACCGAACAGGAAGATCTGGACAACCCGAACCAGCAAAGGAGTAGATGGCACGTCTGCCGTACAGAAAAAACAACCCAACGCCAGCGAGAACGTCAGAAGGTCCGAAACCACATCCCCGACAGACACGAAAGAAGGGACACAACACCACAAGCAAGACCCCACAGTGGAAATGAGAGGGGTAGACAAAGACAGACGAAGAAACACAAGGGGCACACGTACCATGGGACACAGGCGAAACGGATGCCCAATGAGCAAAAGAAATGACAGAGCCCAGTAGGCTCAAGAAGCTGGACCTACACCGAACGACAGGAGACACCAAAAACCCAGAGCGCAACCCCCACAAACACAACGAGAGAAGTACAACAAGCACAGAGGCCCTGTAAATGGCAGGTGAGTGACAGAGGGGCAGGACTAAAGAGCCAAAACTCAACCCCAGCAAGCACAACTATTTTTTTTTTGAGATATATACAAGAGTTGTTACATTCTTGTACAGCCACTAGTACACTTGTCGTGCTTTTCAAGAGATCCATAACCTTTAAGCACTTTGTGTATTATTTTTGTATCAACTGATGTATATCTGTAACCATCAAATACATAATAAAGCACAAAAAAAAAGGGAAGGGGGTGGTAGGAGAAAACCACACAGAAACTGTATTGGAGGGGATCTAAACATTCCCTCTAATGTGTTATGCGTGGTTTCCTCCGAGGCTATGGGTCCCCCTTCTCCCAGCCAGAGGTGGTACTCCCTTCTGTTTACTGTTTAAAAAAAAAAATTATATTATATATTATATACATTATATATATATATATATATATATATATTATTAAATATGACAGAAAAAGTAAGATTAATAATTCTAACACGAATTTTCTCAATCTTTCGTACATTTCGTTTCACTGTTGGAGGTAAATCAAAAATCAATTCTCCAAAATTCATTTTTATTTCTAGTCTGACGCGACACGAGCGCGTTTCGTAAAACTTATTACATTTTCAAAGACTTTAGTTCACAAATACACAACTGAATAGAACTTACGCATCTCCGATTTTATATCTACACTTGAGTGAGGTGGAAGGGGTGATGTGGCATTAACACAAGACAGAACAAGATGTGGTATTAATAGGGTATTAATTTCATCAACACAAGACAGAACAAGAGTATTAATAGGGTATTAATTTCATCAACACAAGACAGAACACGAAACAATGGATATTGAATAGAAGTGTTTGTAGAAAGCCTATTGGTCCATATTTCTTGATGCTTCTATATTGGAGCGGAGTCTTGAGGTGGGTAGAATATAGTTGTGCAATAATTGGCTGTTGATTGCTGGTGTTGACTTTTTAATGTGTAGTGCCTCGCAAATGTCAAGCCGCCTGCTATCGCTGTATCTATCGATGATTTCTGTGTTGTTTACTAGAATTTCTCTGGCGATGGTTTGGTTGTGGGAAGAGATTATATGTTCCTTAATGGAGCCCTGTTGCTTATGCATCGTTAAACGCCTAGAAAGAGATGTTGTTGTCTTGCCTATATACTGGGTTTTTTGGAGCTTACAGTCCCCAAGAGGGCATTTGAAGGCATAGACGACGTTGGTCTCTTTTAAAGCGTTCTGCTTTGTGTCTGGAGAGTTTCTCATGAGTAGGCTGGCCGTTTTTCTGGTTTTATAGTAAATCGTCAGTTGTATCCTCTGATTTTTGTCTGTAGGGATAACGTTTCTATTAACAATATTTTTCAGGACCCTTTCCTCCGTTTTATGAGCTGTGGAAAAGAAGTTCCTGTAAAATAGTCTAATAGGGGGTATAGGTGTTGTGTTAGTTGTCTCTTCAGAGGTTGCATGGCGTTTCACTTTCCTTCTTATGATGTCTTCGACGAAACCATTGGAGAAGCCGTTGTTGACTAGGACCTGCCTTACCCTACAGAGTTCTTCGTCGACTTGCTTCCATTCCGAGCTGTGGCTGAGAGCACGGTCGACATATGCGTTAACAACACTCCTCTTGTACCTGTCTGGGCAGTCGCTGTTGGCATTTAGGCACATTCCTATGTTCGTTTCTTTAGTGTAGACTGCAGTGTGGAAACCTCCGCTCTTTTCCATGACTGTTACATCTAGAAAGGGCAGCTTCCCATCCTTTTCCATCTCGTAAGTGAAACGCAGCACGTTACTCTGCTCAAACGCCTCCTTCAGCTCCTGCAGATGTCTGACATCAGGTACCTGTGTAAAAATGTCGTCAACATACCTGCAGTATATGGCCGGTTTCAAGTTCATGTTGACTAAGACTTTTTGCTCGATGGTACCCATGTAGAAGTTTGCAAATAGGACACCTAGGGGAGAACCCATGGCGACCCCATCTACTTGCTTATACATGTGCCCATCCGGGCTCAAGAAGGGTGCCTCTTTAGTACAAGCTTGGAGTAGTTTCCTTAGAATATATTCTGGTATGTCAAGAGGAGTACAGGCTGGATCACAATACACTCTGTCGGCTATCATCCCGATTGTCTCGTCCACAGGTACGTTGGTGAACAGTGATTCTACGTCCAACGAGGCTCTTATTCCTGTGGCCCGTGTGCCCCGCAGTAAGTCAACAAATTCCTTTGGAGACTTCAGGCTGAAGGTGCAAGGGACATAAGGAGTCAGCAGGCCGTTGAGTCGCTTCGCCAGTCTGTACGTGGGTGTGGGTATCTGGCTAATGATTGGCCAAAGTGGGTTTCCAGGTTTGTGTGTCTTGACATTTCCATACGCATATCCAGGTTTATATTCCCCAATAATCTTTGGCAGGTGAAGTCCGGATTTCTTGGCGTTCACAGTTTCGATCAGTTTGTTGACCTTTGCTTTTAATTCGGCTGTAGTGTCCTTCGTTACCCTTTGGAATTTAGTTTGGTCAGAGAGTATGAGGTTCATTTTCGCCAGATATTCGTCTTTTTTAAGAATGACGTATATTGGCGACTTGTCGCCTCTCCTGACGTTTTAGTCTATATATATATATATATACAGTATATATAATTATATATATATAATTATATATATATATATTATATATATAATTATATATATATATCATATATATATATATCATATGAACACGTTGTACTAAACGGGGTGAGAATAGCTTGAGCTACCTCATCCCTTTGTGTAGATTTTTACCTCAATAAACTTATTTAAATCAAATTTGAATTACATACCAATTCCTAAAGCCATTAAGTTGAGAACAGCTGAAGATAGGTTTGAACGAACCATTTCCGGTGGTGTAACTTCACTAAGCTTGTTGTACTCTTCTTCAGTGTATAGTCTGTAAGCAAAATTTATGTTAATTCATTGCTTACATTACTAGACAGTTACTTCATATACATTGATAGAAATACTGTATGTGAATTACCTCTTAATTCTATAACTCTTAGCAGCAATTTTGAGCTAATAAATAAACACTTTGAACATGGGGCAATTCATTTGACGAAATGTTAAAATTTATCTGTCTCCCCACATGCTATTACAGTTACAGTCATCATGCACAATAACCTGCTATCACACTACATTTATCCGGCAATTACTATACAATCACACACTATAATCTGCTATCACAACTAGTCATCAGTCACTATACAGATACAGCCAACAGTCACAGTTATCAGACACACAGTCAGATTGCTTTAGTGGTGAGAACACTGTTGTCAGAGTTGAATGTATTGCCTCATGAGAGCCACGCACATATGGATCCAAGTCGTGTATAATATCCAAAGTCTAACCTAACCATCCAACTTCCTTCATATATGGCAGGACAAATGACTTATAAACAAATTATATAATTAAGCATACACATCTTCTCTATTTTAGTACAAGTACAACAAGATTTGAAGAAAAACAATACTGTTATGTGAAAACAAAAATAAGTTAGGAAAAAAACTGAATGAGTTGAGTGTGAATGTGAATAAGTGAGATGAGTATGAGAGAAGAGTTGAATGGTGGGGAATGAGCCAAGTGTGTATGTGTAATTACCGAAGTGTAGTTACAAGATGAGAATTACACTCATGGTGCCCCGTCTTCCCAGTATTCTTTGTCGTATAAAGCTTTGAAACTACTGACGGTTTTGGCCTCCACCACCACCTCACATAGTTTGTTCCAACGGTCTACCACTGTTTGTAAAAGAAAATGTTTAAAAAATTTTTTGGCACCTCTGTTCCCTTAGCTTGAATCTTTTTATTTTTATTTTGTTTTATTTATTCATTTATATAAATTTTACATTCTTGTACAGCCACTATCACGCATAGCATTTCGGGCAAGTCTTTAACCACTATGCTGCGCAACCTTAAAATAAGTAGAAGTTCGCTAATCCGGACTATACGGGAAGGACCCCTTGCTGAATGAGCCCAATTTTCCAGATTAACTGACTTTTCACCGCAGAAGTCCAAAAGTGAACATTTCCAAAAAAACCAGCGTTGAATGTAATGAAACGCCATTTTCTGGGTGAGCCCCAAAGGCTCCCTGGAGCTTATCGGGCTAATGTATGTTATATTAGACCGGGACATTAGCTATGGAATTCAGGCCTACCAGGGACCAGTGCCAGAACCTGGTCCCTTCAGAGAGGTTTCAGGAAGCAATGGCCCTGGAAAAAAAACCTTGTGGTTGGGGGTTTTCCTTGTCTGCCATCGACCAGGGTTAGTCACCCAGAAAGGTAGGCATAACAAAACAAACCCCAACATGGTAAAAAAACTAATAAAAAAACTGAACAGAAAGGTGGAAATTCTCTACAACCCCAAGGAAACAAGCAAACATCATACTTTACTGCCGCGCTGTTTGTCCGCGCAGCCCTCCCCGCTCCGAGAGGGGGAAGGGGGGGGGGCTCCGAACTTCACTGCGCCAGTTGCCTAGCATCAGTTCTGAAGCCAAGCTTCAACCAACGCAAAAAAAATTTTGACCAGTGGGAGGGAGGGTTGCCAGTGAGCCTCTGGTGCTCACCCAGAAAATGGCGTTTCATTACATTCAACACTACATTCATTACATTCAACATTAATAACTTAATTAGTGATACACATACGTTATTAGAATAAGAATCCAATTAGAGATTGGATTCAAAAGGTGACACCCCCTAGTGTTAACACTTACATCAGAGGAGCTCCAGCATATTTCAACAATCCTAAGTATTGTAGTACAGGTTGATGATAGTGAGTGGTGTCCCAGGGAACATAAAGGGATAGTGCTTTTGAAAAATAAGTGAGATAACAGGAATGTGCTAAGGGAAGTGAAAAAATTGGATGAGAAAAAGTTGCCCTAGTGTTCCAGTGCAGACAAGAACATTCAAGATGGCAGCCATCAAGAGGAAAAAATAAAACAGAGCTTGATTTTCGGGATTCAATAAAGAAAGCATTGATATAAGCAGTCTACACAACAAGTTAGCAAAATTAGATACTATAGTGAACTCTCGTGTAGAAATAATCAGTAAATTGAAAGAAAGTAATGACCATTTGTGTAGCAAAGTTTTATGTCTTGAAGGTTTAGTGAAAGACTTGTGCATGGACAATAATCAATTGGAAACAAATTGCAAAGCCATGGAAGAGGAAAATAAACTCTTAAAAATAGCTTTGGAAGAAGTTAAAAAAAAATTGAAGAAGCAGTAAAGGAAGCCAAACACTGCAGCAACCAAGATAAAACAAACATTAGGTTGGAAGTGAGAAAGAAATTGGCATCTAACCCGAAGTTGGTGCAAAACACAGTTGATCAGAGTAAGTCCCTGATAATTTTTGATTGCATAGAAAAGGAGATAACATCTAGGTCAGAAAGAGCTGTAGAAGAAGCAAAAGTAGTAGATAAAATTGTTGGCATTGTGGAAGGTCTTACTACCACAGAGAATGTGTGTGACTACAGAGGAATAGGCAGGTACATAAAGGGGGAAAAACCGACCTTTGAGGATCACTAAACGGTGCCAAACAGATAGAAGAAGTACTAAGGAATGCTAGAAAATTACAAAGTGGTGAGAATGGGAAAGTGTGGTCGTTAAGACGAAATCTTTCAAGAGAAGACAGAGAGAGAAGCTGAAACTAAACCTTGTAGACGTAAAACGTCTAAATGAGAGCAGAAACGAATGAAGAAGAAATAAATTCTTTTTTCTACAAAGTGATAGGGGTAGGCAGGCCAGTAAAATGGTACAAAAAGGCAAACCAACAAAATTGATAGAGAGAGGGGTAGTGAAGAATAAGGAGAGGGGGGAACATGTTCCTGAAAATAGTATATACCAATGTTGATGGAGTGAGATCGAAGATACTGTAGTTAAGTGATGTAATACAGCTGCAGACACCAGACATTGTTACACTCACGGACACAAAACTTGAAGATGTTATTTTAAATGAGGTCATATTCCCAAGGGGCTACTCAATTTGGAGATGGGACAGAAAAATTAGGAGAGGCAGTGGCATTGCTGTGCTGGTGAAAGAACACCTAAAGGTGAATGAAATAATGATTGCCAATCCACGAGAAGTTGATGTAATAGCACTAGAGATCTGCCATGACGATGATAAACGAATGATAATAAATGCATATAGTCCACCACCAAGCAACACATGGACAAAGGAGGAGCTAGATAGTAAACAAGAGGGTTTTATAACAATAACGAGAGAGAGATTATAGCGAGAGTAGATATAGATAGATCACGACTGTTGATAGTTGGGGACTTCAAATTGAAATCCATAGACTGGGAAGCATATGAAGCTAGAACAGAGGATTTTTGGACCCGTAGATTTGTAGACCTCATCCTGGAAACATTCTTGTATCAACATGTTAAACAAGCTACGAGGATGACGTTCCCTCCATGCTAGATTTGATATTTACCAGGAAGGAGGAAGAGATATTTGACATTCAGTACCTTCCTCCCTTGGGTAAAAGTGACCATGTGTTTTTGGGAATAAAGTATGCAATGTGTTATAATCTGGAAGAAAATAAGGAGGTTGAAGCAATTAAAAAAACCTGACTTCAGGAGAGGACATTATGACGACCTTAGAATTTTTTTTAGTGAGTATAATTGGACAGACTTATTGCTAGGCAAGGAAGTAAATGAGATGTATGTCAAGTTTTGTGAAATATATGATAAAGGCACAAAATATTAATACCAAAACAGAGATGCAGAACTAGGAAACAGGATTGGTTCAACAGAAATTGTGAGAGGGCCAGAGACCAAAAGACACAAAAATGGAATCAATATAGGAAGAGGCCAAACCCCCAAACATACCAGCAATACAAAGATGCAAGAAACAGCTACACGGCAGTGAGGAGAGAGGCAGAAAGACATTTTGAAAAAGGGATTGCGGAATGTAAGACCTATTCTACATAGATCTATTCTACAAATTCATAAACAACAAATTGCAGGTAAAGGATAATATTCAGAGGTTGAAAAAAGGAAATAGATTCATGGAAAATGAAAAGGAAATCTGTGAAACATTAAACAAAAAGTTCCAAAGTGTGTTTGTACAAAATGAAATCTTCAGGGAACCAGACACAATAAGAATGCCAGAGAACAACATAAAGCACATAGATGTGTCTAGAGACGAAGTGGAAAGAATGCTCAAGGAGCTAAGTAAGAACAAAGCAGTTGGTCCAGATGGAGTTTCACCATGGGTTCTGAGAGAATGTGCACCTGAGCTCAGCATTCCACTTCAACTGATTTTTCAGGCATCCCTGTTTACAGGAGTTGTAGCTGATGTGTGGAAAAAGACTACCATAGTTCCAATCTACAAAAGTGGAAGCAGGAAAAGACCCCCCTCAATTATAGACCTGTATCATTAACAAGTGTCATAGTCAAAATATTGGAAAAAATAATAAAAAACTAAACGGGTAGAACACATGGAGAAAAACGATATAATATCAGACAGACAGTAAGGTTTTCAATCTGGAAGATCCTGTGTAACGAACTTACTCAGTTCCTATGATTGAGCCACAGAGATTTTACAGGAAAGAGATGGTTGGGTTGACTGCATCTACCTGGACCTAAAAAAGGCTTTCGACAGAATTCCACATAAGAGGTTGTTCTGGAAACTGGAACATATTGGAGGGGTGACAGGTAAGCTTCTAACATGGATGAAAAATTTCCTGACAGAAAAATGAGGGCCGTAATCAGAGGCAATGTATCGGATTGGAGGAATGTCACGATTGGAGTACCACAGGGTTCAGTTCTTGCACCGGTAATGTTCATTGTTTACATAAACGATCTACCAGTTGGAATACAGAATTAAATGAACATGTTTGCTGATGATGCTAAGATAATAGGGAAGATAAGAAACCTAGATGATTGTCATGCCCTTCAAGAAGACCTGGACAAAATATATATATGGAGCAACACTTGGCAAATGGAATTTAATGTGAATAAATGCCATGTTATGGAAAGTGGAATTAGAGAACATAGACCCCACACAACCTATAAATTATTGGAGAACATGGATCCATCACAACCTATATATTATGTGAGAAATCTTTAAAGAATTCTGACAAAGAAAGGGATCTAGGGGTGGTTCTAGATAGAAAACTGTCAACTGAGGACCACATTAAGAACATTGTGCGAGGAGCCTATGTTACACTTTCTAACTTCAGAATGGCTTTTAAATATATGGATGGAGAAATACTAAAGAAATTGTTCACAACTTTTGTTAGACCAAAGCTGGAATATGCAGCGGTTGTATGGTGCCCATATCTTAAGAAGCACATCAACAAACTGGAAAAGGTGCAACGGCATGCCACTAAGTGGCTCCCAGAACTGAAGGACTAGAGCTACCAGGAGAGGTTAGAGGCATTAAATATGCAAAAACTAAAAGATAGAAGAAAAAGAGGCGATATGATCACTACATACAAAATAGTAACAGGAATCGATAAAATTGATAGGGAAGAATTCCTGACACTCGGAACTTCAAGAACAAGAGGTCATAGATTTAAACTCACGAAATAAAGCTGCCGGAGAAATATAAGAAAATTCACCTTTGTAAACAGAGTGGTAGATGGTTGGAACAAGTTAGGTGAGGTGGTCGTGGAGGCCAAGACCGTCAGTAATTTCAAAGTGTTATATGACAAAGAGTGCTGGGGAGACGGGATACCACAAGCATAGCTCTCATCCTGTAACTACACTTAAGTAACTACATTTAAGTAATTACACATTTCTGTGTGTATTATTAACTTATTAGTAATGTAATATTAATATTTTCCTGCCACGATCAACCATCACCCACAAGCCATCATCTCCCTTTCCTCTCACCATCTCTCCCTTTTCCCAATTCCATCAAGCACTTGCAGAGGTGCCGGAGCAGCGCTCTGGCGAGCTCCGGCAGCACTGCATCACTGCTAATATCTAATTTACAAGGGAACAGAATAAATACAAACAAATGCTCATACACACACAAATCCAAATCTAAATGATCAACTTGAAACCTTACCTGTATACATTTCCGGAACGGGTTCGTCCTGCTCTTCCTGCTCTTTGAATAGCAGATGCCTGGGAAGTAGGAACAACTACAAGGGCATCTGTATGGCTACTTGGGTTGTACCATCGTAGTTTCACAAATCCACAGTCCACAACTGTTGAAAAGATTTAGCCATTATGTTATTGTAAAATTAAATATGTTGAGTTAACAGAAAATAATAGTATAACATAGCCAATAGAAAAATATTTAAAGAACGAAAGACATTAATTTCCTTATTCTAAGAGCACTCAGGATTAGTAGGAAAGAATCTTGGCAAGTCACATCTCAAGGCGGCAAGCCTAAAATTTGATATAATCACAGCTTTAGAAGAGCCACAGCCCTGCATTTAGAGCACACAGTTTGCTACAAATGTACAACACCACATACTGTAATGAAGATGAGATACCCTAGAACATACTGTTCTATCAAATAAGTAATTATCAAAAGAAGGTGTCAAACTGTTCTATCAAAATACAAATGTTGAACCCCTGCAATGCATTACTGTTTATACCCGACAAACGAACCTGACAACTTGCTCTTGGTGTGCAAGAAAACAAATTCTTTCTAATACTGTTAAACTGCATCCCCTGATCACAGGAAAAATAAAAAATAAAAAAGTGACTTAATTTGTCTGTGAAGCACAGAAATATTGCAGTGGCATCACAATTCACAAGCATTCATGGAGCATTTGCCTCCAGGCAGTTGCTCTAGCTCCCTTGTTGATGGGGGAGGGAAGTAGCATCAAAGATATTTTTTAGATACTTATTTCAATGTCTTTGAATTACTTTTTGCTGGTTTTTGCAGAAATATTATTTAACCCTTTAACTGCGCAATGCACCTGCAGTCCCACGTCTGGGGTGCACTACGCACCTCCAGGTATTTGTATTTTTCACGTTCCATCAAAACTCCCGCAGCTACATGGGGTTCACATCAGCTTCCTCAGGGCTCTTGTAAACAGATGCCATCTTTAAAAAAAATCATGGTCCACATTCCCGGGTGTGAGAGCCTCGGTAGTGAGTGAGCAACCATGGCTGGCGCTCGCAGCATGAGCGCACAGCACTGCTGTTTAGTGTGTGACCACAGCATCGCCTAATAATGTCAAAATATATATATATATATAACTTGTATTATTTAGCCATGATAGTATTATAGAAGAGCCTGAGTATGATTCTCCAACTACAGTTGGAGAAAAATTGCTAACCGAAAGCTGAACGAGTAAACAAAACTCCCCAATCAGAAAAGAAGTAAACAAGCATGACATCACCACAGCTGCCGCAATTACCTCTGTCTGCGCAATTTCCCCCATCACCGGGAGGGGGGAAGGGGAGGGTCCCAGACCTTCCACGTCGGCTACCCAGCCCCAGTTCAGTGGCTGTTGTGTTTGGTGGCAGTCAATAGACTCTGACTCCATCCTTTTGAGCAGGGCTGTCCATAGCAGTGTTTTTCTGTGTGGAGGTGTGCGAGCCAGGAGTAACACAAGAGTACTGGGGCTGCATGCCCCGTAGAGCCACCTTCCCTAGGTGCCCCTGTAAATACTGCTCTTGCGGTTTAAGGTTATCTTTCATAGGCCATTTGGGAGACTACCTCTGTGTGGTTCTTTTGCTGCTTGGTGATTGCCCACCCTTGGGGTCAGCTGGGGTTGTTCTTCCTCCTGTTTGACCTTAGGTAGCAGGTAGTATTGTCGCTGGCTGAGACGCAAGGTATTGTGCAGCTGTCAGATATACACATTGTGGATGGTTCTGTTCCCCTGGAGATGTGCTTTTGCATGGTTTTTCTTTGTCTTTTGTTTTGTTTTGCTTGGTGGGGTCTGCCTGGTGTGGCTGTATAACCACTTGTATGGTTGTGGTCCTCGTAATTGCACACGTCGCAGGGGTTCAGTTTTTAGTTCGTTGCTTGATGGCTCTGGGATAACCGGTTAGCAGTACCTTGCCTGGGCTTTCCTTAGCAGTCAGCCTAAGGGCCCTGGGAACCCCCATTGGGGCTCACTCGTCCAATGGAGGAAACCTCCGAGTCCCACCTCGCTTATTGCAAGTTTGAAGTTTGCTCTGTCCCCTTGTCTCAGGGTGACATTCACCGTCTTTCCCTCCACCATGCTGTCTGTTGGGTTGATGACACCTTTGACCCAGAGTCTTGCAAGTGGTGTGCCTTGCGTGTACTTCAGTTCACCCAGTTTGATAATACTGTTGATCGGGTGCAGGCAGCATCTGCATTGCATGTGTGGTTTAGGTTGCTGCAACGCTCTATTTTAATTGCCTTTTGGATGCCCCACTTTGGTTATAGGGACCCGAACTTGGGGGAGGGGAGGGGGGATTAGTCGCTTTGACTCTGGTTTCGTTCATGCCCCCTTGTCCTTTTCCCCTGCTGTGATTCATTCTGCTCCCAAACGTTTGAGGGTTTCAGAATCGGGACAGGGTTTTCTTGGTAGCGAGACTCAGGCGGCTCTGGCATTCGAGCCTGTTCCTCCTGCTGGGGCTTTTGGGGTTGTGCCAGCAAGCCTCCCTTTTGCTTGCGTTTAGGATGTCACTTCTGCACCATTCTGCAAGCTTTCTCGGACGCTGTTTCACATCCGGCCTGCTCATGCACCACCTGAGCCGTCTTGGTCTTTGACAAGGTGCTCTCTCTTTTCTTTCTTCTTCTCAGTTTGTGGTGGTCCCTTCAGTTCAGGATTGCCTTTCTAAGACTGTTTTCTTGTTGGCATTGGCCTCTGGGGATCGGGTCAGGGAGCTTCATGCTCTCCTCCAGTGCAAGGGTTTCTGCTCTTTCAGTCCTGGTGGTCGGTTTCATAGTTTGCAACCATCTCCTTTTTTCCTAGGGAAGAATGAGACTGCTGCTTTCCGGAAGAGTCCTTGGGTTGTTGATGCTTGGTTTGTTCAGCTGGGGGCGCATTATGTTTTGTGTCCGGTTGTGGCTCTTCTTGCCACTTGTGCGCCACGGCCTCCATGACAGGGGGGGATGAGCTTTGGGTTGAATAACTCTGTATAAATGCATTTACCTCCTGTTACGGTATCAACACCGTTGCTGGAGGTGCAGAGTGGCGATTTCAGTGCCATCTATGGACCTGCACTCCAACTCCCAGGTATTAGACGAGACGCAGACAACCCCATCTGTTGGCGGCGGTGTGGTGTCAATGAAAGGCTCTTATTTCATACCTCAATTAGGAGGCGAGGTTGATGATGATGACCTCTGGCTGGTGGCATAATGATATCAACTCCATCTAGGTTGTGCATGCGATTACAATTTCAGTTCCCCAGTGAAGGGCATTATCCTAAGGTCACCCAGTATGCTGTCTGACGTTTGTTCACAGAGGTGATGTGATAGGCGATTGTGTTGTGGAAAGCAGTTCACCTTGGGCAGTCCAGAACTTCTGACTTGGTCCTGTGAAAGGACAAAGTGGCCACTGTCGGTAGTAGCAGTGTGTTAGCTCTTGGACTTATGTAGTGTTGTATGGACCAATGTACCTGGGATTTGGTCAAGAGGATTTACGAGACAATAGTAGTGTTCGTCTGCTAAGAAGTGCTGCTAGTTGGTTGCTGGAGACTTCTGCCAGGGTATTAGCTACCCCCTGTATGTGATTATTTGAGAACCCTGTCAGCGTGTTGCTGAGGCCCTCTGCCAGTGTGTTTCTGGAGTGTGGATGTGGGGTATTGGGACATCGTGACGATGTGGTATGTGGACTGACCCATGTTGAGGAAGGTGAACTCACCGGTGATTACCACCGAATGTGGACAACGTGTACTTGAAGATAGTGGACTCACCGGGATTTGAAGAACACTGTAGATCTATCGAGTGTCCTGGGTGAAAGCGACACAGTGTACATATGTGTAGTTATACCTCTATAGATAATATATTGGTGAAGGTGTAACTGCGTATTGTTTATCTCCCCCTTTATTCTTTGCACTGTTACTTGCTACTGCCAATTCTTAAGAACTTACCATTGACTTAGGGTAGGATCATAGAAGAAGAGGCTATAAGGCACATTAACAGAAAAAATATGGTAACTGGCTCAAGCTGGCTGTAACACCACCTGAAGACAGACCTTACCATATACAATGCCAGGCATAGTAACGGAGGTCTCTGCAATATTGGTTGCCACTACCACTTTCCTGACTCCTGGAGGTGAAAACTGAAACACTCTCAGTTGATCGCTGTTTGTCAGGGCTCCATGCATTGGCAAAATGAGGAGAGAACCTAAAATATGAAAAATAGAATTTATTGGACAAGTGAACATAGAGAATAAACATATCATAATACAGTTCATGAGAAAAACCAGCGTTGAATGTAATGAAACGCTATTTTCTGGGCGAGACCCAGAGGCTCCGCAGAGCTATTTGGGCTGATAAGAATGTATTTGACTGTGGAATCAATTATAGTGAATGGGGGACCACAAGCCAGAACCTGGCCCCCTCAGAGAGGCACGAGGAGCAATAGCCTATAGAAACTCCCGTGTGGTTGGGAGCATTTTGATGTTTGCCATTGACTGATACCTGCTTGATACCTGCTTGATGGGGTTCTGGGAGTTCTTCTACTCCCCAAGCCCGGCCCGAGGCCAGGCTCGACTTGTGAGAGTTTGGTCCACCAGGCTGTTGCTTGGAGCGGCCCACAGGCCCACATACCCACCACAGCCTGGCTGATCTGGAACTTCTCTTAGAAAACAGTCCAGTTTTCTCTTGAAAATGTCCACGGTTGTTCCGGCAATATTTCTTATAGTCGCTGGGAGGACGTTGAACAACTGCGGACCTCTGATGTTTATACAGTGTTCTCTGATTGTGCCTATGGCACCTCTGTTCTTCACTGGTTCAATCCTGCATTTTCTTCCATATCGTTCACTCCAGTACGTTGTTATTTTACTGTGTAGATTTGGGACCTGGCCCTCCAGTATCTTCCACGTGTATATTATTTGGTATCTCTCTCGTCTCCTTTCTAGAGTACATTTGGGGAGCTTTGAGACGATCCCAATAATTTAGGTGTTTTATCTCGTCTATGCGTGCCGTATATGTCCTCTGTATTTCCTTGATTTCAGCAATCTCTCCTGCTCTGAAGAGGGAAGCGAGTACTGAGCAGTACTCGAGACAGGACAATACAAGTGACTTGAAGAGTACAACCATTGTAATGGGATCCCTGGATTTGAAAGTTCTCATAATCCATCCTATCATTTTTCTGGCTGACGCAATATTTGCTTGGTTATGCTCCCTAAACGTTAGATCGTCGGACATCATTATTCCCAAATCCTTGACATGCTGTTTTCCTACTATGGGCAGATTCGATTGTGTTTTGTACCCTGTATTATGTTTCAGATCCTCATTTTTGCCGTACCTGAGTACCTGAAATTTATCACTGTTAAACATCATGTTATTTTCTGCTGCCCAATCGAAAACTTTGTTGATATCTGCTTTTAATTTTTCAATGTCTTCAGCAGAGGTAATTTTCATGCTGATTTTTGTGTCATCTGCAAAGGATGACACGAAGCTGTGACTTGTATTTTTATCTATGTCTAATATGAGAATAAGGAACAGTAGTGGTGCAAGGACTGTACCTTGAGGTACAGAGGTTTTAACTGCGCTTGGACTATTTGATTTGATTGACTGTTACTCTTTGTGTTCTGTTCGACAGGAAATTGAGTATCCAGTGTCCTACTTTACCAGTTTTTCCCATTGACCTCATTTTGTGTGCTATCACTCCATGATCACATTTGTCAAACGCCTTTGCAAAGTCTGTGTATACAACATCTGCATTTTGCTTTTCTTCTAGAGCTTCTGTGATTTTGTCATAGTGGTTGAGTAGCTGTGACAGACAGGATCTGCCCACTCTAAATCCATGTTGTCCTGGATTGTGTAGCTCATTATTTTCCATAAAGCTAAAAATTTGATTCCTAATCACTCTTTCAAACACTTTTATTATGTGTGATGTTAGTGCAACTGGTCTATAATTTTTTGCCAAGGCTTTACTATCCCCCTTGTGCAGAGGAGCTATATCTGCAGATTTAAGTGCAGCTGGTACAGTATCTCCCTTATATCCAGGCTCTTTCTCCATATTACATCGAGTGCTCGCGCTATTGGTACTTTACATTTCTTTATGAATATTGAATTCCATGAGTCAGGCCCAGGATCTGAGTGCATGGGCATATTGTCAATTTTTCTTTCAAAGTCTTCCGAGTTCGTGTTAATATCCGTTATATTATCTGCAGTTTGAATGTCATTCATAAAGAAGCTGTCTGGGTCATCAACTTTCATGTTGTTAATTGGTGTGCTAAACATAGCCTCATACTGGCTTTTTAGAATTTAACTAATTTTGTTGTTGTCCTCTGTGTATGTACTTTCATTTGTAATTAAAGGTCCAATACTGGTCAGGGTTTTTTATTTTGATTTTGCATATATGAAAAAATATTTTGGATTTTTCTTTATCTCTTGTATAGCTTTCTGTTCCAATTCCATTTCCTCAGACTCATATGATCGCTTCAACATTTGTTCTATTTCTTCAATCTCCCTGCTTAGGTTTATTTTCCTTGCTTGTGATAATCGTGTCTGCCTAAGCATTTCCGTTATTTTGTTCCATCTCCTGTACAGTCGTCTGCGTTTTCTTTCTAGAGTGGTCCTCTTTCTGACTCTCCTCACAGGCACGTGCTTCAAGCAGACCTTGTAGGCTTCAGCTGTCAGTTGAGCTATTCCCCGTATGGGGGTTTTGTCGCTTAAAACGGTCTCCCATTGAATGGTTGCAAGGTCTACATTTTTTTTTTCCAGTCGATCCTCTTATTGTTACTGGGTCAGACACCCAGAAAGGTGGGCACCTCAAAAACCCTATCTGGTTAAAAAATTGCTACTGAAAGCTGAACTGTTGAACAGAACTCCCCAAATTAAAAGAAACAAACTAGCATGACATCACACTTGTCACCGCACCACTGTCTGCGCAGCTCCCCCCTCCCTGGGAGGGGGAAGGGGGGCGCTCCAGATCCCCCCCCCCCACGGCAGTTATTCAACCCTAGTTCTGAGGCTGAATGTCAAACGCGAAAAACTGCCGACCGGAGGGAGGGAGGGTGGCCGGGGAGCCTCCGGGACTCATCCAGAAAATGGTGTTTTATTACATTCAACGCTGGATTTCTGTGGAGAGCCCCTCCGGCTCCCCAGAGCTACTTAACCAAGGATAACAAAAAAGAGGGACCTGCCCAGGAGGCGGTCGCCACCCGCCTCCTCAACTCGAAGTTGACACAACTGGCTGCAACCTGCAACCCAAAGTGACACATGCCAGGGACATTAACAAAGTACTGTGTGGCCCCGTTCGATCACCAAAAAATCCTCACCCGAATGTCAGCCCAGGACATGTTATGAAAAACAGCAGCCAAACCAGCAAACTTGCAAACGTCGTGGGCAAGAGGATAGACCACATGCTGGTTGGACTGAATAATTCTGCTGACAACCTGGGAGACCCGCGCCCTGGAACAGGGAAAAAGGGAAACCGGGTCAACCCAAAGTGCATCTCCCCCGTCACGGAGGGTGTGGAGTGCAAGTAATGGCGAAGAGCTGCAATTGGACACAATACATGATGCACTCACAGCCCAACCAACTAAGCATCAACAACCTAAGGACCCCCTCCGGAAAGCAACAGTCTCATTCATCGCCAGAAAAACAGGAAACGGCTGCAAATGAACAAACCTACTACCAGGACTGAAAAAGCAGAAATCCCTGCGATTTCTGCTCTTTATGCAAAGGAGAGCATGAAGCTTCCCAAATCCGACCCCCAGAAACCAATGCCAAGAAGAAAGGAGCCTTAGAAAAAAATACTGAACCAAAGGGGCCACCACAAACCGAGGAGAGAGAAAAAGAGAGCACACAGTCCAACAATCAGGATAGCTCAGGAGGTGCATAAGCAGGCTGGAGGTAAAACAACACATGAGAAATCATGCAGAACGGAGCAGAAGTGACATCCACCCTGAACGCAAGCAGAAGCGGCTCCGCCAGTGCTGCACAATACAAGGCAACAGTATTCAGCATAAGATGATGGTCCTGAAACAGCAAAGAAAGGACAAAACAATCCGCTCAGAAAACGAAGACAACCTACGAAGAGACAAAAAGTGACGAAAGGATCGCCAGGAAACTTCATACTGCCGCTGAGACGAGACACGCAGGTGACCCACCATCAACAAAACCACCTGATCACCATACAATTGGTGATAAACCAGCGTCAGAAAGACCTGACATGAAGATCGAAGGAGAAGATCGTACCAGCCACGTATTGGACAGGACCGATCTGCTGAAAGAAGCCGAGCTGCGGAAAGATCCCCAGGTTTGGACATTGAGCAAGCAGTGCCTGAAACCGAGGCTGGGCCGGCCACCATGGAGCCAACAGAACTACTCTCCCCTGGTAAGTCTCCAATCAAGCTAGAATCTGAAGCAACAGCTGGACCGAATGGGAGAGGTACAGGTAACCCCACCTCGACCAGTCATGCCGGAAGGCATCAACCCCGTTGATGCCTTCCGGTCGTTGGACACTCCCCAGATATAAACTGCCTGGAGAGCCAAACCCTGAGAATCCAGCAGACGAGTCACCTGAAGCGACCAGCGCCAAAGAACCAAGGCCCGCATCAAACTCCCCCCAGGGAGCAGTCCGAATGAAGCCAGATCATTGATCAGCAAGTGACGCAAACCCTCTGAAGCGAAAGGCACACTACTGCAAATCCCCGCAACATGCTTTGAGCCTGACAGAGGGATGGCCCCCACTGACTGGCTGGCTTGGTGATCACTGGTCACAAAACCCCAGCCGAGGGACGACGCATTTGTGAACACATCGAGCGAGGGCTTGGGTAGGCACCACATCACTGATCCCCCGAAAAACCAGAAGAGGAAGCTGGCAACGCAGCAGCTGACACAAGGCCCCCATCCCCCCCGGAGTCCGAACCCAACAATCACAAGAGCGACGGAAGGGACGTCCCCGAGGGAACCAGACTAGCTGCCGAAGCCAGACCCAACCCGGTAGATAAACCAGCATGGTGAAGTTCAGACTCCCGTACAGCTGCTCGAAGAACCAACGAGTGACCTGCGAGCCATCCAAAAAACAGCCGAACGCGAGATCGCAGCCACAGCAATGACTCTGGAGGGAGAGACAAGGAACCATTGCGAGAGTCCCAAAAAAGGCCCAGCTAAGTCCGAACCCGGGAAGGAACCAGATGGAACTAACCCCCAGTAAACCAAGAACCCAAACACGGTGAGCGGGGAAAGAACCACACCTCTGGCAAGCAGACAAGAAGATCGGCAGGGAGCCACCATTAACCAGCCATCGAGGAAGGCCAAACCCCGAACCCCAAGTAGTCGCAGACGGACAACCAAGAATCGGGGAAGAAGCGAAAAACGCATGGTGCCAGAAACAAGCCAAAAGAAGGCCACGAAAGCGGAAGCATGCTGCCCCCCCTCCCTTCCCACCAAAGCTAACTAGTCCCTGAATCCCAAAAGGAAGAAAAAAATATTAAGAAACAGGATGTGCCAATACACTGCCCGGAGATTCAGAGACACCATCCAAGAACCCAACTCCAAAAGAAACCGGACCAGGGACAGAGCAGCCTTCCGAAAAGAGGAGCAAAAAACTGGTAACAAAGATCCACCTCGACCAGCAGAGACCCGAACCCCAGCACAACACTACCAGGAGCATAAGAATGCCCAATCCGGAGCACCAAGAAACCATAAAAGATGGCCCATAAGAAAAGAAAACCGAAGAGCCAGGGCCCAGGCCGAAAAATAAGGGCAGTCTGCAAGCCAGGAAGACCCAGGAACTCCCAGTATCTAGGAGGGAGACAGGGAATCCAAGAGGAAACCCACCTAAAGACGCTTCCGAAGATCCCATAGGATCCCAGAATGAACCCGGGTGGAGGGGTGGGGGGTGGGGGGACCGAGGCACCACAACCGCTGACGGAATTGCTCCCTGAAAAAAGAGGCAACAGGCGGCTAAGAAACACACTAGTATATAGACACAAATGCTGAAACACACACAAAAGCAAAAACATATCATCAAACAGAGAAATGGCCCCCGGGAGAAGAAACTTCCTCAGACGAAGGCAAAAACTCCTCCAAAACACGAGACACACACACACACAGCCACATGTAAACAAAATGCAGCACTGCCCTGCTGGTTGACCAGAGACGCACACAACCAAAAATGGCTGCCAAAACAAAGCAGCCAGAAAGTGACGTGCCTGATGCAAGGGCGCCGAATGAATGCCAGGAATTGCAGAAAAGTAGCACCAAATGCAAACAAGGAATGACCCATTACCGAAGCAAAATTCGGAACTCGCAGGGGGTACACAGCAATGGCTTCCCACACCTCTGTTAATGGGACGTGGGAACCCAGAAACCTATATCCCATATCAAACTCGTACAGGAAGATTGGGGATAAGAAAACCCCTTCCCCTGCAACAACAAGCCCCAAGTCAGGGTACCAATACCCAAGCGGGGTAAAATGGAGCCCAAGCCCCTCAAGTCAGCTCCTCCCCAGTCCCGGGATCCTCCACACTAGGACCCGGGATAGAGCCATCCTCCAAATCCTTCACCTCAAAAGAAAAGGCAGAGTCCACCGGAAAAGTAGGGAAAAAGGGAGTTCGCTGGCCAGACTCAGAAGTTCCCACTGAAGGAACTGGCTCGAATGCCTCCATTGCCAAACCGGATGGGGCAACCCCAAAACTGACAGAGATTCATCCCCAATGAACTCAAGCGGGGCAGCCTCGAGGCATCCAGATTAGCAACCAACCTAGTGCGTTGCAGCAACCCAAACCTCGCATGTTTGGGTTGCGAAACCGCCTGCACCCGAATATCAGTATCAGTAGACAGGGTGGATTGGAGCACCAGCAAGGAACACCACTCACAGAACTCCAGGTCAAAGGTGTCATTGACCCAACAGGCACTAAAACAGATGCAAAGATGGTGACTGTCGCCCTGAGACAAGGGAACAGAGCAACCTTCAAACTCGCATGAAGTGAGAAGGGACTCAAGAGGATGCATCCATGGGACCAATGAGCCCCAATGGGGTTTTCCAGGGCCCTTAGGCTGACTGCTAAGGGAAGCCTAGGCAAGGTACTACCAACTGATTATCCCAAAACTACTAAACAAACAAAAAGCTGAACCCCTGTGATGTGTACAATCACGGGGGAGCCTAGTGGGGGGCCACCAAATACAGTAATACAAGTGGTCCTGTAGCCACACCAGGCAAACAAATGAAAAGAAAAAAGAAAAACCCACAAAAGCAATGTCTCCAGGAGGAACAGAACCAGCCGCTATGCGCAATTTAAGAGAGCTGCACAGTACCTTGTGCCCCTGCCAGCAACGATACTACAACCTACCCAAGGTCAAACAGTGGCAAGAAAACCCCCAGTTAACCCCAAGGGCGGGCAATCACCGAAGAGCAAAAGAACTTAAGGAGGTAGTTCCCAAACAGTTTGGTGAAGATAACCCCAAACCATAAGGCAGTACTTACAGTGCACCTAGGAGGGAAGGTGACCCTGGGTGCATGCAGCCCCAGTACTTCTTGAATAACACCTGGTTCACACACCACCACACAGCAGAACACCGCCAGGCACAAAGAGTGGAGCCAGAGTCGAACGACTGCCACTCAACACATCAGCCTCAGAATTGAGGTTGGATAGCCGGTGCAGGGGTCTGGGGCTTCCCCTTACCCCTCCTGGGGGGGGGGGGGGCTGCATAAACAGTTGCGCGGTGGCAGTTGTTACGTCATGCTTGTTTGCTTGTCTTCGGATTGGGGAGTTCTGGTTGCTAGTTCGGCTTTCGGTTGCAATTTTTAACCATCTGTAGTTTGTTTTGGGACGCCTACCTTTTTGGTGCCTAACCCGGTATCTTCTTGAGATGATTTCGGGGCTTTTTAGTGTCCCCACGGCCCGGTCCTCGACCAGGCCTCCACCCCCAGGAAGCAGCCCGTAACAGCTGACTAACACCCAGGTACCTATTTTACTGCTAGGTAACAGGGGCATAGGGTGAAAGGAAACTCTGCCCATTGTTTCTCGCCGGCGCCTGGGATCGAACACGGGACCACAGGATCACAAGTCCAGCGTGCTGTCCGCTCGGCCGACCGGGTTAGATGGCATAGAATACTTCCAACTACATGGGGGGTTTCTATAGGCCATTGCTCCTCGTGCCTCTCTGAGGAGCTAGGTTCTGGGTTGTGGTCCCTGGTAGGCTAGAACTCCATTGAATTGACTGATGCCACAATCTAATACATACATATCAGCCTGGTAAGCTCCGGGGAGCCAGAGGGGCTCTCCACAGAAAACAAATCCTTGAGTAACGAGAGGTCACACATGCCATGCTAGCACAAAAGAAAAACTATACTGTCAGGACAAGTCGAGTACTGAGCCAATCACAGAATGGGTCACATATATACAAACTACAATGCATAAGCATTATACAGTACATTAAAATATTTACAATTTTTTTTTCTATTAATAATATTTCTGTTTAGTATGTGGGTATGCCTGCTCCTAGCTGCTCTGGGAAACTGAAGTTGTCATCTGAGGTAGCCTTGGTCATACAGATATCATGTTCTGCATTATCAAGAGTTATTCTGGTAAATTCTTTATGACCCCACCAAGGGTTGCATTCCATCATAATCCATTCAAATGAGGCACCACTGTACAGAGGACATTAAGATTTTGGTATGCAGAACTTATTACCTTCATTTTTTTTGAGAGAGAATGCATATTCCTTGAGAAGAGAAACACAAGTTTCTACTTCTTCTGCACCAGTGAGGAAGACTAAGACATCACCCGGGCCGTGTTTGCTATGAATCTTCATAACTGTTTCTGCACTGCATTTCACATAGTCAGCAGTTGATTCTATTTAAGAGAAAAACAGCAGAACATTGTATACAGTACCCTGAGAAGGAATGTAGGTTATATCTGAAAATCTTGTTTGATACACTTAAACATAAATTGGACTTTCCTTCACTTTCGAGAAAATATTATTTGGTAATTACCTTCTGACAAAAATTTATCGGGTATGTTTGAAAAATCTTATGCTTATGGGGTATATCCCATATCCCATATCCCATAAGCATATAGTGGTACCTCCGTTTTCAAATTTAATCCGTTCCCAGAGACGGTTCGACAACCGAAAATTCAAAAACCAAAACAAATTTTCCCACAGGAAATAATGTAAATTGAATTAATCCCATTCCACACACCCAAAAATATTAACTTAAAAATACATTTTATACAAAATACAACTCATATTTTTCACACACAAAACAATCAGATATAAATATAAACAATAAACAAAAATAAGCGAACATTTAACTGCAAATTACCTTTATCAAGGACTCTTGTTGGCATATGGGAGACAGTGAGGAGGGAGGGGAGGAATGCATGGGAGCATATGGGAGCAGTGTTGGTGTATGGGGAGGGTGAGGAGGAGGGAGGTGGTGGTGAGTGTTTAGAAGGACCGTACCCTGCTCGCCTTAAACATTTTCATATCTTCACCACTGGTTCCAGATTTTCCTTTCACACATTTCACGGCCTCTTGTTATGTGGCAGCCAGTCAGAACTAGTCAGTTACAGTCACAACATGTCAGTCAAGCATTCACGGTCAAGACAAGCCACAGGCAGTCATAACCAAAGGCCGTCAAGTATTCACAGTTCACCTTCCCCCAATAGGATTCAAAGTGAGCTAACCTGGAGCAACAGCTGGAGCAGGGAAAAAGAGGTACTGGAACCTCCACCTCTACCCGTCCAACTGAAAAGCATCTACTACAACAGCCTTGCGGAGAATGGCGCCACGTACAATGGAAGACGCCGAGACCATGCCAACATGAAGAAGTCCACCTCCGAGTGCCTGTATGTCCAGCAAAACCAAAGGAAGGAAGCGGTGTCGACCGTCCACTCCGTGGAAAGAGGAATGAAGTGCGACAGCTGTCTGTTAGAATGTTGGACACTCCCTGAATGTGAATAGCGTGGAGATCTAAACCTTGAAAACTCAGCAGAAAAGCCACCCAAAGCGACCAGCCCAAAAAAAAACCACGGACCGAAGGGACTCGCCCCCCCCCCCTCTTCTGCGGTTCAGACAATAAACCATGGGGGGAGCAGTCCGAATGGAGCCGGATCACAGAGCCCCAAGGAAGCCGAATCTGGCGCAGCACCTGCCACACTGCTGCAAACTCCCGCAGTTTGCAAACTGGCTGGACTGGTAACATTGGTCACAAAGCCCCAACCGAAAGACGAGGTAGCCGTAAACACATCGAGTGAGGGAAGAGGAAAGCGTCATGCCATTGAACTTTGGAAACCCGAAGAGGAAGCCGGCGAAGCAGCAACCGACGCAAGGACACCAGGGAACGAGCCCAGCAATCGCGAGAGGGGCTAAAGAGGTCACTTTGAAGGTACCAGAACAGCCTCCGAAGCCAAACCCAGCCCACCGGATAGACCAGCAGGGCAAAGTTCAGGCTCCTGCACAGCTGCGCGAGCAACAGCCGAGGGACCCAGGTCCCCCTCAAAAACACCTGAATGGGGGACCACAACCAGAGCAAAGCTGCAGGAGGGAGAGAAACGGAGGCAGTCCGAGAACCCCACACTAGGCCTGGCCAAGTCTGAACCTGGGACGGAACCAACTGGGACTTCCGCCAAGTTAACAGGCACCCGAATCCGACAAGCTGGAAAAAAACCTGAACCTTATCAAGCAGACAAGCAGGGAGCCCACACCAACCAGTCGTTGAGGCACGCTGCCAGCCAGGAAGACACCAGAACCTTGAACACACCCGACCAGTGTAAAAGAAACAGAACTCAAACAAAACCAGATCCAACTCAGAGGCAAATCCGGGTCTCGCAGGAGGTGCCAAGGGCCACCCGAACCTTCGCAATGGAAAGCTGAGAGAAAGAAACTTCTGAAAAGACAAATCCGAAGAATGCTAGGGCACCCGGAAACAAACCTGGGGTGGAAAACCCTACCTACCGCATTTGCTGGAGGATAAGACACACCGTGTGTAATTAAAATAGCTTTTTTTAGATAAAATTAGCCCCCATGTCAAAAATGGCCGTAATACAGAAAGAATACCGAGCGCCGTAAGCTAGGGAACTGGATGAGCAGACTGGGCAAAGTCACTAGGCACTAAATCGATGCCAATAATAAAATAAAGAAAACAAGCCAATGTCCATGGTTTGTAAACAAGACCGAGGTAAGACAATACAGAAGTACCACCTTACCTTGCCCTTGAGGTTACCTTGAGGTGGTTTTGAGGCTTAGTGTCCCCGCGGCCTGATCGTCGACCAGGCCTCCTCGTTGTTGGACTGGTCAACCAGGCTGTTGGACGCGGCTGCTCGTAGCCTGATGTATGAATCACAGCCTGGTTGAACAGGAATTCCTTGGAGGTGCTTATCGATTTCTCTCTTGAACACTGTGAGGGGTCGGCCAGTTATGTCCCTTATGTGTAGTAGAAACGTGTTAAACAGTCTCGGGTCTCTGATGTTGATAGAGTTCTCTCTCAGAGTACCTATTGCACCTTTGCTTTTCCAGACCACAGTCTCATACACAAGACAAGACAGCCCCGGGAACACAAGACCGGGAAACATGACCATCACCCACAAAAACTCATGGGAATGAACAAAGTAGAAGAAGAAGAATGATGAATCAATACAACTTGTACACTCATAATGGGGCACAGGAGGAAGCAGAGTACCCAAAGGAGCCACAGACATCGGAAAGAACAGGTCCATTGGCATAGCAGTAAGGAACGGAAATGCAGGAGGCAGTGAAGTGGTGGAGGTTGACACCCTACATAAGATCAATTGAAGAGACATAGGAGCTCGAGAAGCTCAGGAAAGTGTACACCAGGAAAATGATGGGTGAGAAGCGGACCCAAGAGCCAAAGTGCAATTCCCAAGCGCATGCACAACTAGAAGAGCACAATTGAAATAGAGGGAGTACAAAGAACATATACGGCATACACAGACGCGACAATGCACCTAAATTATTGGGATTGTCTCAAAGCTCTCCAAATGTACTCACTAGAAAGGAGATGAGAGATATCAAATAATATACACATGGAAAATACTAGAGGGCCAGGTCCCAAATCTACACAGTAAAATAACAACATACTGGAGTGAAAGATACGTAAGAAAATGCTGAATAGGACCAGTGAAGAGCAGGGTTGCCATAAACACAATCAGAGAGCACTGTATAAACATCAGAGGTCCACGGTTGTTCAACATCCTCCCAGCGAGTATAAGAAATATTGCCGGAACAACCGTGGACATCTTCAAGAGAAAACTAGATAGTTTTCGTCAAGGAGTGCTGGACCAACTGGGCTGTGGTGGATATGTGGGCCTGCGGGCCGATCCAAGCAACAGCCTATTGGACCAAGCTCTCACAAGTTGGGCTGGGCTTGGGAGTAGAACTCCCAGAACCGCATCAAACAGGTATCAAGCAGTACAACAAAGCAAGTACAAACTTACCAAAACCACAGATAACACACCAGGAGTGATGAGGGAAGAATACACCAATTCACGTACCTCCTGACCCATGTCATAGCAAACAAAACCCACACCTGAAACAAGTTACACAGAAATGAACGACTGAGTTATCGGTAAAACAAGGGCGCATCAAAGAAATTAAAAATGACCCAAAAAGCAGGAAAGGAACGAAAAACTTTTAACCGCCCAACTGCCATATTCAAGAGAGAATGACAACAAACCCAAGCCATGGAATGGTGCGCCACGACTGGTACGCTATCCTGGCAGCCAATCGCAGCAACACAAAACCCTCGTCGAAAAATATAACCAACGAAAGCGATGATCAGGAGGAGGTGGCAAGAGCAGGGGCATCGTAAAATAACACTCAAAACATGTATGACGAACCACACAAAAATATCGTAATATTAATGTTCTTTTTTTATTTACACATTTTCCATACAAAACATCCAAGCAAAAGATGGAAGCATCCAAGACAATGGTGCGTAAACCATGCAGGCAAATATGGGTGCGTTAGCCTCAGTGCCCCAGTCAAAAACACCCCACATGGGGCAAGACAGAAAGCCCAAGACCCCCGACATACCCCAAGGGTGAAGACAATGCAACGCAATGAAGTCCTCAAACAGGAGTGAGTTCCGAATGTCACAGGGAAGATAATCCTGAAACGCAAGGGTAGTACTTACGGTGCACCTAGGGAAGATCAGCCTAGGTGCATGCTGCACCGCGTACAAGAAAACACCTGGCCACCACACCACACACTGCTGGTACAGCCACACAGGGCAAAATCCAGAACAGGAAATTGAGGCCAGATGTGACCGAGCTGACCCCAGCACATCAGTTCGAGAACTGAGGTTCTTGCTGCACCCCCTCCATCATTGGGGGGGGGGGGAAGCACTAACAAGCAGGATTGCTAGTTGGATGAAGTGTTGCCTGTTTGTTTTCTTTATGGGAAAGTGCTTTTGCTCTTTTCACATGTAGGTCGCAATTTTCACAAGATTGTTGTGTGTTTTGTTTCGCATATCTTTCTAGGAGATTCCCTGGTCGATGGCAATTACGACATACCTTAAATGTAAAGTGCTTGTAGGCCATTGCTCCCTGCGCCTCTCTGAGGGAGTCACGTTTTTGCTCATGGTTCCCGGTAGGCATAAGGACTCGTGTGATTGATGACCCCAAACTAATATAGCACATACCAGTTTGGATAGCTTCAGGGAAGCCAACGGGGTTCCCCACAGAAAATCCCATTTGGCATTAGTGCTACAATGTCATTCTGCCTAACTGCACAAAATCCGGGTCATAAGCATAACTTTAATTTAGGAAGTAACTGAATGCAATAGTTCAGAAAGTTCTTTACTGCATAATATTTATAACAATAACAAAACCTCTTTTACCTTCGAGATAGGAAATATCTACTGGATGAGTTCGTCCCTCAACTGACAAAACTGTTGCTGTGTCTTTACTCTTGTCCGTTGTAGTGTTGTAATTAAAGAAATTATACAAGTGATCTGCATCAACAGTTGCTGAGGAGATGATCAAGCGCAAATCTTTACGTCTACGGAGGATTTTTTTCATGAGCCCAAGTACAATATCAGTGTAGAGAGTTCGTTCATGGATTTCATCAAGCATAACAACACAGTACTGTAGAAATGTATAAAGAAATATTTTTTGTTAAACTACAGTATAGTACTTATACAGTAGTGATTCATATACTGTACAATAAAACTGGTAATATTGTATTAATATTTTCCCTTTTTTTAATATAAAATAGTTTTCAAGATAAACTGAAATAATTAAACATGTTGAAGTAATGAATGCATAAATGACATTAAATAAAAAGAGTATTTGGAATAATGGGCAAGAATCAAGAACACACCTTGAATAGTTCACATAAATATGCCTAAACAATCATAGTATTTAGAGGTACTTAATGGTTATTTCTTGAATAAGGAAAAGAAAACTATTGCCATTTCAACAAGAATCGTATCACTATGTGACAAAAATGGGCTGACAGTCCCACCCACTATTATATACTGTTATTATGTTATACCAATATTATGAACCCACTAAAAATAAAGGTCACCATTTCCTTAATCCTTGGACAGTGGCTATATGAAAATGGTCATTCCTACCTATGTGAAAAAAAATAGTTGTTCATTAAAGAATTATTAATTTGTATGCAAAATATAAGAAAAACATGAAAATATGTGAATACAATGGCACCTCGATTAAGGAGTTTAATCCGTTCCGGCACCAAACTCGTCATGTGGAAAACTCGTCTTGCGAAACAACAACAAAACTGTTGTAAAAGGTGTCCGAGAACCAGCGGAAATGCTCGTTAATCGAGGAAAAGTAGAGGCCAAATGTTCTGCGAGTGGCTCGCTCGTTACTCGAAATGGTCGTAGATAGAGCCGCTCGTTAATCGAGGTGCCACCGTATTTACCTTTTTACTGGGTGGAGGCAATCTGAAATATTGTGTGTGGTGGCTATGTGGTGTGGCATCTGTCAACAAACAATGTTGACTTTGCTGACACTGAGATATGCAAGACATGACTCCTGTGTTCTTGGATGTTTCATTGATTATTTATCACTGGTTTCTCTTTATTTATACGAGTATGTGTGTTGAATAATTTGACAAATCACTTAATTCACATGACACATGATAATGTTTCAAGTGATGATTGAGTTTACCTGATATACAGTATCCACTCAATTTAAAGGCCTCTTTTATGCCGATCTGCTGGTAATAACGACTGGTTTGGGAGACCGGTATTTAGAGCCTTATATAACGGTCTGACGGTCGATATTACCGAAGGTCGGTAATGGGTTTGTCTTGACATCAGAGGGTCCTCACATGGCAAGCAGGCCCCCCTACCCTTTTCATCCCCTCCCTCACCCCTCACTGAACCTCTCCCCACACACCCTCACTTCCTGCCTCCCCCATCCCTCCCCCCCCCCCCCAAGACCCTTCTGGGAAATGGCTCAGTAGACTACCAGCCAGCCAGAGACAGCCTGGAGAAACTCCATCTAATACAATAAAGCATTCATGAAACAAGTATTTTATAACTTTTTATTATCCTAATAATATTACTAAACAAAATCTGTAAGCAAAAATATATATGATGTACATCCAGAATTTAATTAAGAAACATCTGGTTAACTGGGTCAAGTATGTTAGGCTTATCAGCGAACCGGTCCCTTCCCCACCACCGACACCCCCCTCCCCATACTTCCCATACACATGCTCTCTCTGCTTCACCTCAACAACCATCCCTCCATCCATCTCCATCCTACCATCCATCTCTATCCTCTCCCTCCCTGCCTACCACCCAGCCTCTGCCTGCCTGCCTCCCTCCTAAGCTCTGCCTCCCTCCCTCCCTGCCTACCACCCAGCCACTGCTTGCCTGCCTCCCTCCCTGCCTACCACCCAGCCACTGCTTGCCTGCCTCCCTCCCTCCTTGCCTCTCCCTCCCTGCCTACCACCCAGCCTCTGCCTGCCTGCCTCCCTCCCTCCCTGCCTACCACCCAGCCACTGCTTGCCTGCCTCCCTCCCTCCTTGCCTCTCCCTCCCTGCCTACCACCCAGCCTCTGCCTGCCTCCTTCCCAAACTCTGCCTGCCTTCCTTACTCCTTGCCTCTCCCTCCCTGCCTCTCCCTCCCTGTCTACCTCCCAGCTTCTCCCTGCCTGCCTGCCTACATTTCAGCCTCTCCATCCCTGCCTGCCTGCCCATCCACCCACTAGTCGGCCATCACTGACACAACGAGTGCATTTGGAGCCGACATGGTGCACGGATGTTCTTTGATTGTGCAGATATGTCCAACAAAGTCACGGAATGAATACTCCAGCCTCATGACAAATCAAAACAATGTGCCGTGAATCTGTGACGTCACAGGGTAGAAGGCACTAGACTGGTGGACCCAGTGGCTGTCTGCATAAAATATATCTTACCTGAATGTTACTAGAAAAATTACCGACACTTAACTTCGGATATACCGGAGTTCCGGAAATAACGACCAGGGTACAGCCCCATATAGGCCATTAAATCGAGTGGATACTGTACTTCATTACAATCATATAGAATAATGAAAACCATATGAACATGATATACAATGGTGTTGGGCTCTGGGCCTAGGAACATAAGGTCTAACTGGTACCATATGGGTAACAGTATTGATTGAAACAAAGGCGTAAACAATTCACATGCCACTCTCAGATGGCAAGCGCCTAGTACAAGTAACACATGATAATTGTTCAAATGATGATTGGTTTACCTGGTATACTTCAGTATGACCATATGGAGTTGTGAAAACTATATGAACATCACTGGTATACATATCATGCAATTATGGCAGTACAATGCCAATGACTGCATTCACTTCGTAACATGACGAAAACCACATTCACATAGCAATGTAACGATGAAACAATAGCTGGATTTTTTCATGGGTCAAAGTAAACTTCATTACATCTACACAGAGCTATTACTGTATATCCTTATTTACATCATACATATAAAACCCAGACAATAATTGTTTAAATAGTCATATGACAACAATACTCAGTGAATCAACATATGATAACCACTGTCTAAGGGTTAAGAAAGCCAAAATATACTTTGCAGTTTGGATGTCATTTCATTCTGAATTTGCTCCTGATATTACATTTTCAAATACTGGTCAAGAATTTTTCCATTTAATACAATACTGGATAAGAATGTTTTTAATACCAAATAGTACAGAACATAAAAGTTAAATGCTTTTCAGCCCCCATCATTGTTCATAGTGCACTAGCAAAACTGCATTGCCTCTTAATTATAATTCAGGAATATGTAGCAGCACACTTTTAAATTTCATATTACACCTCTTTGATGCATTTACTGAAATGCTGTAGATATGTACATTACTCCTCATGTTATATTACAGTGTATTTATCATCATCCCAACATGTACATTATAGACCATACATCATTAACTCTTTATAACCCATCCTTCTGTAACAAGTATATTACGTCATTAATATACTTGCTCCATATTCTCATTAGTTTATGTGCAGATAATGAGATAGGTGTATATTACTGACATAATGTCCTTGCTACACTTCTGACACTCAATTCAAACAATTATGAGAATAATTTGTTTCTACAACAGTCAATACATTTATTTGTATCACAAACATATCTAAATTTCTTACATATACAGTACAGGTACAGTACTGTAATGCATGAATTAATAGTCTTTTCATTCCTTGAAAGGTGTTGGCACATAACTTTTATAGCCTGCAATAGAACAACAAATTCTTTAATATCCTACAACTGATATTATATCATCATAATATGAGAGAATACAAACCTGTCTCAAAAGTGGATCTGCCATCATCTCTCGGACCAACAACCCCTCTGTCACATATTTTATCTGCGTTGTGCCAGGAGTGTTATAATCATCAAAGCGTATGGAGTATCCAACCTCCTTGCCAAGTATCACATCACATTCCTCTGCCACACGTTCAGCCAGAGTGGTGCATGCCACTCGCCGAGGTTGTGTAATGCCAATTAGTCCATCAACTGACCACCTTGCTTCTCTAAGATACTGTGACAAAGAACCAGCATTGAATGTAATGAAACACCAATTCTGGGTGAGCCCCAGAGGCTCTGTGAAGATATTATCACTGATTCAGTGCCATACTACTAGGTGCCACCAGTAGCAGAGTTCTTATTGGCCTACCAGGGACTACGAGCCAGAACCTGCTCCTCCCCCACCCCCGCAGAGAAGCAAAGGGAGCTATGGCACTATGAACACCTTAAATTTAAAGTTATATATGTCTGCCACCACTAGGAAAGGCACCCAGAAAGTCAGCGAAACAAAACAGACCACTGTATGGTTAAAACCGAAACTGTAGCCTCAAAACTGCCAAAAGAACTCCCCCAACTACAAAAAATAAACCAAAATTTCCTAAAACTAGTGCGAGTTAGTTTGCCTTTCCCCTTACCTGGGGGAAGGAGGAAGGCGCATCAGATTAGCCGACCCGCTCTACTCTCAGTTCTTATGATGATTGAACACCGACTTCCCGGAAAGGAGGGGAAGGGGGGGGTGTCAGATAACCTCCGGGGCTCGCCCAGAAATTGGCGTTTCATTATATTCAACACTGGTTTTCTGGGGAAAGCCCCTTGAGGCTCCCTGAAGCTAGCTACCCCATAGAGAAGGGCACCTACTAGGAAGGAGGTAGCACCACAGGTATCAATTCGAGGACTAGACTCCGTGCAACTGCCAAAACCCTTGTGTTCGAATATCAGCCAAAGACAAAGTTGCAAACACAGCCGTCAGAACGGCATGCATATGGACATCATGGGCACAAGAGAAGACTGTTAGCTGGCTAGACTTAATGACACTGCAGACGACTTGAGAAATATGAGCCCTGGAACAGGGAACCAATGAAATCGGATCAACCTACGAGTCTACCAAAACAGAACCGATGGCACTAAGGAAGTGACATAAAGCTGCCATTGGACAAAGCCAATAATGCACCCCACGGCCAAACTAACCATGAATCCACGACTAAAGTACCCCTCCAGAAGCCCATCGATTCATTCTTTGCCAGAAAAGAAGGAGCTGTCTGCAACTGAACAAAACACCCACCAGGGTCAAAAAGAACAAAGCACTCAATGCCAGAGAAGAGCATGAAGCTCACCCATCTGACAGTAGGAGGCCAAAGAAACCAAAAACACAATATTCAAGAAACAATACGGACCGAAGGGGCCACAGTAAAGTGAGCAGAAGAGCACCACCACCGGACATGTCGGACATGTGCTACCTTTATGCCACCGATTATGCCTTAGTTGATGATTTGTGGGTGGATCCAGTGTCCTTTGTTCCCTGTTCCAAGGCTCATGTTTCTCAGGTTGTCCCAGTGTTATTACGTCTAGCCAGTCTGTGGTCCACCCTCATGCCTATAATGTTCGGACATATTCTGCTTTGGCGGCTGTTTTTGCTAATACGTCTTGAGTTGATATTTGGGCACGGGGGTTTTGAGAATCTAGCAGGGTTCTGGTGGCTCTGTATTTAGTTAATGTTCCTGGGTCTCAACTTCCTTGCGTGGCCTGGGGTTGGGATTCTTGATGTGTTTTCTTCTTCATCTTGACTGTCTGCAGTTCTACCTCCCTCCCTCCCTTGTATTTTCTAATTCTCTGTGGGTAGTTAGCTTCAGGAAACCACATGGGGCTTACCCAGAAAACCAGTGTTGAATGTAAATGAAACATCAATTTCTGGGCAAGTCCTGGTGGCCCCGATTCCTTCACTCTCTTCCAGGTTGTCAGGTTTGTGTGTGTGCATCTGCTCTAGAACTGAGGGCTCAAGTCCTTGGAGGATGTGGGCCCCTTCAACCGCCCCCCCAAATGAGTGGAATTGGTTGGACGAATGAATACACACTAGTTTTGAGGGGTTCAATTATTTATTTACATAGTTGAGAGTTCATTAAGCAGGTTGTGAACTTTTGGTCTCTTCTGTACCCAGCAGTTGCCTGTTTTGGTTCAATGACTTTCTGGATGTCTACCCTACTGGAGTGAACGATATGGAAGAAGATGCAGCATAGAGCCAGTGAAGAGCAGGGGTGCCATAGGCACAATCAGAGAACACTGTATAAACATCAGAGGTCCACGGTTGTTCAACACCCTCCCAGCGAGCATAAGAAATATTGTCAGAACAACCGTGGACATCTTCAAGAGGAAACTAAATTGTTTCTTTCAAGGAGTGCTGGACCAACCGGGCTGTGGTGGATATGTGGGCCTGCGGGCCGCTCCAAGCAACAGCCTAGTGGACCAAACTCTCACAAGTCAAGCCTGGTCTCAGACCGGGCTTGGGGAGTAAAAGAACTCCCAGAACCCAATCAACCAGGTATCAACCAGGTATCAACCTAGTGAGGTGACGGACCATCATCTTCTCCTTGCACTTCTTTGAGGGGGACTAGTCTCTGGTTCTGGGTCTTAGTAGGCTAAGAACTCTACGGCTGATGCGACCTAGTAGTTGGAAGGCATCTTGGCAAGATAGCTTCAGGGAGCCACTGGGGCTCACCAAGACATTGGTGTTTCATTACATTCAATGCTTGAATTATATTTAGCATATTCCAAGGTTTAAATATGAGTACTGCATGGTGTCTGGGATTGGAGCTTGCTATTGTACTAACTGTTGATTTGCATTGAGTAGTTGTGTGTGTAAAGTAATCTTGAGTCATAGACCTCAAGCTGCAGGTACTGTAGGAAAGACGGTTCTGGCAGAAAATTTAAGCCTGTATCTGGCCATGCATATCATATCTAATAAAATGATAAAACTTGTGTCCAGCATTATAAATACAAATATTATCTAGGATGAACTATACTTCTTACATGAAAAGCAGTTATTTGATTTAGTTCCTGGCAAACTATCTGTGAAAAATAGTCAATACAGTTCAAAGGCTATTTATACTGTATATAATTTTATTTTTCAAAATACTTAATTAACACATTCTTAATATTTACCTGTGGAATTTGTGTGCTCTTCCCAGAACCTGTTTCGCCTACCACTATTGTTGTTTGATATGTCTCTACCAGGTATAGAATGTGGTTACGTGCAGTGAACACTGGCAGTCGCTGACGTTGTTTTTCAATTGACAAAGAGCGATCTGGGTTATATATAAATGTTGTTCCACTGGTCTGGTCAACATCACTGCGGTCTTCTGCATATATGTCATCACCTGAAAAAAAACTTGAAATGAAATACAGTTCTTCTTTCTGAGCACCCCTCACAGCTACCTGGAGCTTAGGAGCTCCAGGTAGCTCCTGTCATGAGAATTACAAATGCCCTTGCTGGGACTAGAACCTCCGATTGGTGAAACAAAGCCAAATGCTGTACCATGTACCAGCACACTACAAAGGCATGGGAGAGTCTTTATGAACTAATTCAACTCCATGCTTGAATGCATTCGGGTTATGTGGTCAACTATTTCATCAAGCCCAGGTTTAGGCAACGAAACATACAATATCAAGTATTTAAAATGCAGCTTGTGTACCATTCAGGTCTATCATTTGATATTGTCAAGCCTAGCAGTATGGCCTGTACAGTATGTCCTGTACACTGAACAACTACATGTCAATAAGGAAAAGACGTGATATGATCACTACTTACAAAATAGTAACAGGAATTGATAGGGAAGATTTCCCGAGACCTGGTACTTTAAGAACAAGAGGTTATAGATTTAAACTAACTAAACACAGATGTCGAAGAAATATAAGAAAATTCACTTTCGCAGAGTGGTAGACGGTTGGAACAAGTTAGGTGAGAAGGTGGCAGCGGCCAAGACCGTCAGTAGTTTTAAAGCATTATATGACAGAGTGGCATTATATGACAGTGCTGGGAAGAGGGGACACCACGAGCGTAGCTCTCATCCTGTAACTACACTTAGGTAATTACAGAACTATTATATCCATACAGTATTTGGATCATACATGTAAAACTCGGTCAAAATTGTTTAACCATCATGCCAAAATGCATTACCCTGTGAATGAAGATATAATGATAATTACTGTCTAAGTGTTAAAACATCCCTGATTGTGTCATACAGTTTATGGATATCTGCAGAGAACATCCCTTGTTGTCATGCAGTGGAAAGGTTAGGTTTGTTACATTATATTCGCTATTGTCTTCTTGTAATGGAGGCGTGTTTGAGTTATGCCACTCAGATTGAGAGAGAAACTGAGCGGCATAGTGCAGAAATCAGGTTTTGAGTAAAAATGAGTACTTAAAATATTTACTCTTAAATATTTACCTGCATTTTCTAATTGGTAAAAAAACTTTAATAAAAAAATTATTTTGTGTCACTTTATATTTTATAATTTTGATCTTTACAAGAACATTAATTATTTTTTTAATCTAAATACTGTAATGAACAAAACTACACAATACATAGTATTGTGTAGTAGTGATAACATACCTGGCTTCAAAAATCTTGATTTTAAGGACATATTGGGTTGAATTACTACACACATATCATATGTTAAGCTTTTTATACATCTGCTGAAGATGGCAGCATATGGTATCTGAAATACAATTTTACACAATAAATTTTTATGTAAATTTTTTCTATTAAAATAATGTCAGCAATGCAAGATTTGAAAGATGCAATAAATACTTATCTCAAATACTCAAGCTAAAAATATTCTATATCTATATACAGGTGAATAATTAATTTCTGTTACCAGAGACAGTAAGCCTGTTAGCCTGTGCTTAAGTTCATCAAGGTCCCCCCCTACACCAACTACTGACTTTACCAAGGATGCAAACCAGGACATGCCCAACCATTTCTGTGTTACTGCGAGGTAAGAGGGCATCAAGTGAAAGGAAACATTTTAATAATTCATTGTGTCAGGGACCAGGCTCCCAGTTTATATATATACAATAAATGTTAGGTTTATATCAGTTCGACCCCCCCCCCCCACCCGGGTAGAATTAGAATGCAACACCACAAGCTGACTAACTCCAGAGTACCTATTTACTGCTAGGTGGACAGAGGCATTTGGTGATAGGAAATGCGCCCAACCATTTATTCACCTAGTTGTTCTTGTGGGGGTTGAGCTCTGCTCTTTTGGCCTGCCTCTCAACTGTAACTAACTACTATCTCCCCCCCCCCCCCACACACACACCCAGGCAGCAAGCTCCATAATAGCTGTCTAACTCCCAGGTACCTATTTACTGCTAGGTAACAGGGGCATCAGGGGTGAAAGAAACTTTGCCCATTTGTTTCTGCCTGGTCCGGGAATCAAACCCGGGCCACAGAATTACGAGTCCTGCGCGCTGTCCGCTCAGCTACCAGACCCCCCTATGTCACGCCCGGGATGAGAACCTGGAATTATTGATTGATAGTTAAGAATGCAACTCTGCAACTTTGCAGGATGAACAACCCAGCGGGTTTTCTTCCAATAGTAGTGCTGTACATACTGCTATGGCGGTGTCCACTCACAGGATCGGGGCAAAAATAAAAAAAAGAAGAAGTTGAGAATGAACTGAATTGTACTACCAGGACCCTAACATATATCATCCTGCCCTGCATAGGAATCTAACTTGGGTACAATCAACCGTGAGCTGACTGTAATAACCACACTACACAAACACACCCGGGCAAAGACATGCTACTAAGTGGCTCCCAGAACTGAAGGGCAAGAGCTACGAGGAGAGGTTAGAAGCATTAAATATGCCAAAACTAGAAGACAAGAAAAAGAGGTGATATGATCACTACGTACAAAATAGTAACAGGAATTGATAAAATCGACAGGGAAGATTTCCTGAGACCTGGCACTTCAAGAACAAGAGGTCATAGATTTAAACTAGCTAAACACATATGCTGAAGAAATATAAGCAAATTCACCTTCGCAAATAGAGTGGTAGACGGTTGGAACAAGTTCAGTGAGAAGGTGGTGGAGGCCAAGACCGTCAGTAGTTTCAAAGCGTTATATGACAAAGAGTGCTGGGAAGACGGGACACCACGAGCGTAGCTCTCATCCTGTAACTACACTTAGGTAATTACACTTAGGTAATTACACTACACAATATTTTTCTACTTCACAATAACAAGATATTAGTCACTTCGTACACAAGTCGGAACGCACACATGTACTTCTACCATTTCAAACACAAAAATTTTACGTTTCGAATATATATGATTCGTCAATATTAAAACCACAATATAATGCCATTAACAATTAAAATCTTCTATTTAGCAGGCATACAATTATTAAATGAAGTTCAGTTATGTGATAGACAGGGGACTGGTCAAATCGTCTACTGCAGTTTCGGATACCGACAGTTCAATACACCAGAAACAAGTGCGTTCACAGAGCGCCAAGACATTACGACTAAATATAGCACTTGGAAGGGGTCAGGTTAAGGTTTTGGGATGGGATGGATTTAGGTGATTTCTAATAGGATTTCTAGGGTATTCCTAATAGGATTTCAAATAGGATTCCTAGTAGGATTTCTAGTAGATTTCCAAGTGATTTCTAGGGGGATTTCTAGTAGGAATGCTACAAGGATTTCCAGGGGATTCCTAGTAGGATTTCTAGGGAATTCCTAGTAGGATTTCTAGGTGATTTCTAGTAGTATTTCTAAGATGATTTCTAGTAGGATTCCCAGTAAAATTTCTAGCAGGATTTCTAGGTGATTTCTAATAGGATTTCTTGGGGATTCCAAGCAGGATTTCTAGTAGGATTCCTAGTATGATTTTTAGTAGGATTTCTAGTAGGCCTTCTAGACGATTTCTAGTAGGCCTTCTAGATGATTTCTAGTAGGATTTCTTGGATTTCTAGTAGGATTCATATTTAGATTTCTAGTAGGATTTCTATGGGATTCATATTAGGATTTCTTGTTGGATTTCTAGGGGATTTGTAGTTTGATTTCTAGGGGAATTTC